TGTAAATTCATTACATTCATCACTTCAATATACCATCAAGTCTAGTACCATCAATAAACTCCAATCAGTCTACTATTGGAGTTTATTCATTGCTTTTATGTATTTGTATATATATTTTACACTGCTCAAGCATAAATCTTAACACATTTACGTTGAAGCATCCTTATGGGTAAACTTTGACAAGTTGTCAAAATGTTATTATCTCAGTGTATATTTGTATGTAAGCATGTAGTTGTGGGTGTATTGGGATGAGTACATGCATATGCATGCAAATATGTCAACGGGTCGCGTCAAATGAAAATGAAAATGAAAATGAAAATGATATTTACATGCAGATGCGCCAAAAGTCACAAAAGTATATATACATTTATATCTATATATATATTCATGTAACTACATAAAAAAGGGAAACAAAGTGGGGGATTTTTTTTTATTTTTTTATTGCAGTATGGAAATGGAAGGGGATGCCATTTCATAAATTTGCTGACAGCGGAGGTGACAACATGTCAACAAGCGCCGCGGGTGCTTAACAAACAGAGAGAAACATATATGGGAAGAGTGAAAGAGAGAGAGAGAGAGAGAGAGAGAGAGAGAGAGAGAGAAAGTGTGGGTTTGACAGAAAGAGATAAACAGCAGGCAAGGCAATTATATGAGAGAAGCAGTTTTAAAGCGTGCGCTCAAAAGCAGGCAACACTTTAAATGATTGATTATTAGCCATGTGCGGCAAATTGTTTGCTCTTGCGTTATCCCCTCTCCCCATCCCTAGGACTCCTACCAGTACAACCTCCTCGCCCCCTCCCCCACCAGGACAGCAAGCGTTTTGTCTGGCAGCTGTCTGTTTAACTTTGCCGCGCTACATGCGACCCCGAACCCTCGACCCTTGCCCTCCTGCACCCTCACTGCTTTAAGTAGCTGTCATATGCCAAAAGAAATGTGTTTTCATTTTTTTCTTTTCGTTTCTTTTTTATTTTTTTGTGATTTCTTATTGAAAATTGTTATTGTCGCCGAATGTGCGTGACAGCAAGAACAGTGCGAGCATAAAAAATGAAGAAAATTCGACTTATTCGGCTTATTTTATAATCGCAGCAAATTTTCAAATTGTCTCACAATGGGGTTTTATATCTATATATGAATACATGTACAATATTTATATATATATACACATGTATATATTTTTATATTGATATTTTTGCATACAAATTGATTTGTCAACATTTTTATTGACAGAAATCATTGAGATTGTCGTGAGTTCTACAAGTTGTTGTTATTTCGATTGTTATTTGTATTGTTGAGCTGAGTTGTATGCGCTGTCAGTTATTTGATATTTTATCACTGATTGGTTTACGATTTACGATTTCTGTGAATCATTTTATGCCCGCTGAAGCGTCTCGCACATTTGGATTTCAGTCCAAAAATATTAAATTCACGAAGTGCAGTTGAATTTATTGGTAAGCAGAATTATAAATAGAATACATCAATGTGTCCTAAACAAATTCACTTAAGCCAATTAGTGCGAACCCTTTTAGCCAATGGCAAACAGCCGTACGCCAAAATGTATCTAATTGTTGTATCTAAGATAAAACAGAAGCAAACACAATGTGAAATCAATGTCTTCTAATAATAACAGCAACAGCAACATCTACCAATAACCAACAACAATAATTTCATCTCGCATTCTTGTCTTATTCATAAATCATTTTTGGTATATTTTCCCAAGCGGTTTTCCCAGTTGTTCCGCATTCTGACCGCTTGGAACACTGCAAGGGAATTGTTTGCCAAACGCTAAAAAGTGTTCAAATATTTGCTTTTGATGTGATGGTTGGAGGACGGATGGAAGAAGGCTTTCGTTTGGCTCGTCCCACAACAGCTTTTATTGTCAAAAGTAGCGAATCCGATGTGTGAGCGAAAAATAAAACTAAGCAACTAGAATTTCATCAATTTCCGGCATGACTTGAAGTATTTAGCTGGCCTTTTCTTTTTGTTATTTGTAGTCGGTTAGTGTAACTTGATTTGACGAACATGAAAGTCATTATTAGGCCCCTGGTCGCCCTCCATTTGACCCACTAAAACTTGCAGCAAATTAAATAAGTTTCAACGCATTTACAAAGTCATTTCGGACGCTCAGCTTTTAGCTGGCTATTTGTGTTTGAGTTTAGTTTTTACGACTGGTTTTCCGAGGCCCCACAGTTCGATGTGTATGCAAAGCAAAACAAAACAAAACAAAACACGCACAAAATAAGAAAAGAAATCAGCTAAAAATTTATTTGTCTGCTTAATAAAAAGGAGCTGAAAGGAACTTTTTCGTTTTTGTTTGAAATTTGTTTCGCATTTGTAAGTTGAAATGTTTTATTTGGGGATACGAACAAAACAAAACAAAATACAACACAGCCGAATTGAACGGGGAAAAGACAAAAAAAAAAAGAAAAGAGATCGAAACATAAATAAAAGCGTATCCCCCGAAGGCGCTGCCAGACCTCAGCTTCAACCTCAGGCATGCAGTTTGGCTTTTTTGTGTTATTCCCGGACCAAGTCGCCCGTAAATGGTCCCCTCCGTACACAAGGGCACACATACATACATACATACAGACACACACAAAAGAACACAATACAGTAAGAGCAACATGAACAGGAGCAGGAATTCGCAGGAAGCGAAACTTTGGTAGCATGCGTATCCGTTATAAGTCTGTTACCTTTCTGCACCCCAAATCCGCCTTTTCCTGCAACGCAATTGTTTCCATCGCGTTCTTGCTCGTTGCTTTAACAAATTTATTTTCAATGTCTTTTTTCGTAAAGGCCTACGTGTAGTTTTTTTTTTTTTTTTGGTTTTTTTTTTGCTTAAAGGGCGCCCCAAATCGATTTAATTGACACTTTAGGTTCGTGCATAAATCGTTTCTGGGCCGGGGCTGACTCAATGGCCGTAACATTTGTGTTTGTAACACCTAACCAGGAATAGAAACTGTCAAGCAAATGGATTGCAATTTGAGCACTTTATGGTGGGCTTGACAAATGTTGATGGCCCACAAAAACCAGCGCATATGAATGTCGACAGGCCGGCAACTGTTGATTGGCAGACTGTTTGTCATGTTCTTGCAGCCATTTGGCTTGACAATTGCAGCATTGGTAACAGGGTGAATTCCTTCAATCAATTCCATGACATCGACAAAACAAAGAATTTCACATTTTACAAAAGGCAGAATATGATATCTAATAAATGGGGTCTAAGTCCAAAAGGATTTTAAATTTGTCGTATATTAATAATGAATGCATACTTATTAATTTACTCATCCTAAAAATCTGTCTATCTTCGAATCGCCAACTTATTATTTTTGAATTTGAATATTAAAATTTATTGCGCCCAAAGATAACAATCATGATTTCACTGCAAGTCAAAGGAATTGACAAAACATTAAAATATAAGTTATAATTCTACTTCGAATGCATTACAAGTGCTCTAAATATATATATTGTATTCTTTTTACAAGGGTTTATTTAGGTATCGAATTTTAGGCTAAGCAATTACAAGACTACCTTGACCGTGTGGGAAAACCATAAATACTAATTTAATAAATGACTGTCTTACAATCTGGCTTAATAGGGTAATTTGAATTAAAGAAAATCTTCATGAATGTCAAATTTTGACTTAATAAATGGTAACAAATTAAATATTAAGATTTATCGATTTATATTAGCTTTAGTCGCTTTACTCTATTAAACCCATCAGCTACAATTTGATATGTATTTCAAATCTTGTGGAGTAGTTGCTATAGTAAATCACGTGTCTGCATACCTTCAAGTGCATACACATTTCTTATCGGGCGCTATAATTCAAATGCTGCAGTTTACACAGAGAAATGATAAATATACATATCTTGTGCAATACGATATTCATTCCCAGTCAAATACCAGCCACAAATCCGGCTCACAAATCTTACAAAATACACTGAAACACACATGCCACATCTCATTGCAGTATATATACATATATAAATTTACACACACACACGCACACACGAACACAGAGTTGTATACTCTTTGTGCTGCTTGTCCTGCACAAGGCATTAAAGGATATATGCTTGGCTTGTGGAGCACCTCGCTGAGTTATGACGCCCAACAGCTGTGCAAAACGACTGTCCAGGAGGCGGGTGGAGGTGAGCCGGCACAAATATGTTGCATAACAGAATAAAAGAATAGAGGCAGCCACAACAGCAGCCGTGACCATAAGGTTGGAGGTGCCACAAATATTAGAGCAAGAAGTCTAGCAAAACGAAAAGAGAAAATCAAATCAAATGGTCCAACGACAGTTGGCCTTCTGTTTCGGTGGCTAGTTGGAAAATATTGCTCTCACTTGGCAGACCGTATGTATTTTGTTATTGTTATTTACAACTAGAAGGCAGTCCAACAAAAGTCCCAGTCAAACTTATTATACTCTGTTGACAAAACGAATTGGGTTTTATAGGCTGTTTGTCTGGCCCAAAAACCACAGACAAACGTCTTGCTATGTCAAGTAAAGTATTGCAACAATCTTAATATTAGTGTTAAGTCTAGCACAGTTTTAAAACTAGTCACCAGAGGTGCTTAGTCAATTTCCCAAAACTCAACAGTCTATATTTTCTACAGTTTAAGTTTGAGAGTCAGCTAATAAAACATCAACAATCGAAAAAATGCAATAAATTGAATCTCTTATATGGAGATATTAAACCAAAAATGTTTTAGTATTACTTTAAAAAACTATATGTTCTAAAACTAGATTATTCAATTACGGATAATACGTTTGCAAATATTAATGCTGATATTTGCATGAACATTAAAGACTTTCAGCATCACCAACTTTGATATTGTTCGATCTCTAGAAATAAATTGAAATATAATTTTAACCTACAATTTTTCTATTTCTATACTTAGTTCACTTTGAAAAACAACTTTTCAACTTTTGTTTAAAACAGCATAGTAAACTTTTGTTGCAACGTTCTAAGTTGTTTCGATTTTCCGTCTCTTTTCAGGCCACTTTCCGTTGAGCTCGGAACACTGTCTGACGTGGATATGCCTGGATGTGTTGTTTTGCACGGCAAGCATAATGCATCTGTGCACGATATCCGTGGATCGGTATTTGTCGCTGCGGTATCCAATGCGATTTGGGCGCAACAAGACTCGCCGTAGAGTCACACTCAAAATTGTCTTTGTCTGGCTGCTGAGCATTGCGATGAGTCTGCCCCTCAGCCTGATGTACTCCAAGGTGAGACTGTTAACCATTTTGATGTCTTAGTTTGACTAAAATTTGATTATGCTGTCTAGGATCATGCCTCGGTGCTGGTGAATGGCACTTGCCAAATACCGGATCCGGTTTACAAGCTAGTCGGCTCTATTGTTTGCTTCTACATACCGCTGGGCGTGATGTTGCTCACCTATTGCCTCACTGTGCGCCTCCTGGCCAGACAACGGCAGAATCTGGGCGGTGGCCAACCAACGGCAGCAGCCACTCCAGGCTGGGCAAGCGGCTGGTTGGGCCAGGCGCCCGCTTTGGGTATGTTTTCTTCGAATTATTATTTTCATTTATTTTTTTGTAACGAAATCTGTAACGAATTGAACAGCTAACCCTAAGGTAAATACATCTAAATAGTGGCTGAAAACAACCTTTATAATTAAGTAACCAACATTGAAGCAGTTTTAATTTTGCTTAGCTCCTCGTTAATGTCTTTTTCATTCATTTCAGTCATTTTTTTGACTATTCTAAATGGCAACTAAATAATATGATTATGCAACTTAATTTCTAAATCAACGTCTTATATGTTTTCAATAGTCTGATTAAGATATCATTGATTTTTTTATAGTGTTGCAGACGGCAATAGATAATAAATAAGAACAAACATCGTTTTTTTTTATCTAGAAAATTAATATATTTCTGAAAGGAACAAACGGCTTAGCTGAATTATGCTTCTATAAAAATTTTGCTTAAAATATCTTAAGCAAGCTCATTGCTAGTAATAACTTCGCTCGTCATTTCGCAAATAGTTAATTTCTTGTACAATTTTACTAACTCACAAAGCTGTGCATTTTATGACATCCTTCTAGGCTGACTTCGTCTAACAGCTGTTGGTGTTTAATATAATTTTCACTTTAGCCAAAATCATGTAATATTACAAGCACAGCACTTTACATAACATGGCCGGGGGCAGCCAGGCTGCCAGACAGAATATGTAAATGGCTCTAAGCCGCAGCAATGCACACAGAAATCAAGTTAGTGTGTGTGTGTGTGTGTGTGTGTGTGTGTGGGTTGATATCTAATTTCAGTGCTGAAACGCTACATCGACGTGCATGTCCTGTTTTGTTGATAGGCTTTCCTAATCCCTTTACCAAGTGGCAAGCAATTTGAAATTCAAAATGATATCTTTTCCGCACAGTTCAAGCGTTGTTCAATTATGCTGTGTTGCATAGAGTTGAGCACTCGTCAAATCCTATCGATTCAAATCCGAGCTTGTTGCTCTGAAATGCGTCATTAGATACCTGAAACTGGTAGAGCATAGTTATTATAGCAGTCATAAAGTATCATACAATAATAATATTCATTTTACAAATTTCCATTTTGCAATTTTTTCCTTGTTAATAATAAATATGAACAATATATTCACAAGGGGCCAACATTTGCTCATTAAAACGCATTACAAGCAAACTTTCAATTTGAGTGCAGAACAACAAAAGTTCGAGCATATTATTTGAGCACTCATGTTTAAGCGATTCAATAAAAAATAGCATTGCGGGGATCTCGAGTGCAGCACTCGACAGCGCACTCCATGTGCCAATAACAATAATCAATAAAATCCAAATCAGAATGAAAATAAAAACTAAACATATTTAATGGACTTTCAACAGCGAGTGCAATTGCGAATGCTGCTCTTTTAGCTGCTGCTGCTGCTTCTGCTGCATTGCAGTTGGTTTCCGTGCTGGATGGGGTGAACGGTGGGTTAGGGAGATGGAGAGTGGTGGGGTGTGGTGGGGATATGCGCTGTAGTTCTGCGAAGTAGGGCATTTGATAGCTAATCGAGAGCAGCAAGTTTAGCATTCAACGAGGCGCATTGCGACGGTGCCTAAGTGCAACTGTATTTGTGTGTCTGTTTTAGTTTGTTATTGCGTGTACAGTGGTCACTAGAATTGTTAATATATTAAATAAAGAGTGAACAGCAGACAGGCTACTGTTTATATTCGCTTACATATAAATTTATATATTAATTTTGCCTGCAATAAAAATATTGTCGGAAACTGAGCGACTTCGAAACATATAGATAAATCTTTTTCTTTCTGAACATAGAATATAGATGTTACTTTATTATTCCGTTTCAGTATTTTACATTCACTGAAAATTCCGATTTTAATATCCAAGTTCAAACTGAAAAGCGTTGACTGTATTTGTGTGTGTGTGTGTGTTTGTGTGCCACATGGTTTGGTATTTTCTGTTCAGTTATTTTAAGCTAAGTCCGCTGTAAGGCAGCTCGAATTCGCTCAGGCACGTATCGGAGCTTCACCCTATCCCCATGTGTGTATATGTGTGTGTATGTGTGTGTGTGTGTGTGTGTGTGTGTGTACTCGTGCGAATTTATAAGCTCATTTAGTTGGCTTATAGCCACGATGTGATTTTTTTCTTCTGTGTCCTGGCATATGATGTCTTTTAATATTTTATTTTTCTCTTTTTGTGAATATTTATTGCAGAGCGTCGCTGCACTTGGCGGCGTCTGTTGAAACCGGGACAGAGCCCCGCCTCTTCGGTGCTGCACGCCCACTCAGCGAACTCGACGGACACAGATCTCAGCACGTTGGACAATCACGAACTCTGGCTGCCCGACTCCAGGTGAGCTACGCTCAATATTGCAAAGGTTACCAACTAGCTAGCTAACCTAATCCTACACCCACTTAATCCATAGCATACCGGAGCCGACGCCAACGACGATGACGGCTTTGCATCAGTTTGGTGCCGAGATGCTGAAATTATCACGTGGTCTGGAATCCGTTGCATCGTCATCGACAACGGGCTCGCCTACCAAATCCGAATTTTCCATTTCAAATCATCTGCCGTACTCGAGCAGTCCACAGCGCTATGCAGCAGCACATCAGCAGCAGCAGCAACAGCAGCAACAGCAGCATCAACATTTGCAGCAACAGCAACAAAATCAGCTGCCAAACTTGCAACAGACATCGCCCAAAAAAACCACAAACCTGGGCCTGTCAACCACAACGCTGGGATTGGAGCGCGAAAGCACCCGCAACTCCTTGGCCAGCAGCCGCATGGGCGAACAGAGCGATGGGTAAGTGCAAAAGTGCCTAATTGAGTTTGGCCTAAAGTCCAAATTGAGGAAGACGCACACGAAACAGAAATAGATCAAGTAACAGTAACAGTAACAGAAAATATTGGCTTTTATGAGTTAAGTAATTTAGTACATCGATCGATTACTTTAAGAGTGTTTTCATATACTTCCTGATAAGCAGATTATAAACTTGAGAAAATTGATGTAGCAATAAAGCCATATATAATCCGTTAAAAGGAGAATTTATGTGTATTCAGTCAAATAAAAAATGTCGTTAACAATTCTAAGTATTTTCTAAGTGTTAGTAAGCATTATCCGGGTATTTTCGAAGCTTTATTTATTAAGAAATGAGAATGAATTAAATAAAACATAATTCCCTGCGTCACAATTGGTATTGCAGAGTTTTGAAAAGCTAAGCGAATTAAGCTTGCAATTTAATCCAATTATTCACTTTACTAATTATTATTGTTCGCAAAAAAACTGCATAAATGGGATTTCAGAAAAAATTATAATTGAAATTATTGCGAATTATGTTTTGATTTACATTTTTGGCATATATTTTTTTAAGTTAATTTAACAATTAAAAACAATTATTTCGGATTTGCCGGAAGGAAAAATAAATAAGTTAATCAATCTCATTTAATATTTTCACTCAGCTCTAATATCCGACTAGCACCACTTGATGCCACTTGCTGGATCATTCTTAATAGGAAACTTCCCAGCCTTTTCACATGCTAACAAAATAAGAAGTGTTTACTTTAGAAACTTTACAATTCTAAAATAAACTAATATTATAGATTACTTTTATACATTTGCAATTGAAATTCAATTGCCTCACAATGTACACATTGAGAACGTTTTTAAAGAGCTCTTCAGAAGACAGCTCTTTTCAAAATACTCCATGGCCAGGTCGTTCTGAAAGCAGCAGCAAGTAAATGCCACAACTTCAGGTTTCTGTGGCTGACAAAAGGCCAAAACAGCTGCCACAGAAAGCGAGAGCATTATCCTCGAACATTTCCCAGACACAGCCCTCAATTCTCTCCTCTTGTTACAGTCCCTCTCGCTTGACCGCATCAAAAGCCAAGCCAAATGTTCAGTTCGTACTTATTTAGTTTTATTTGTGTGGGTATTTTTTTTTATTTTTTTATTTTTTTTTAATTCTCGTTTATTTTTGCCAGCATTGTGCTTGTTTTGGCCTTTTGCCTTTCATTGTCCTTCCGCCTTTGAATTGTTGTTAAATTTTTTGTAATAATTAATTTTTTTCCCCCTTAACGCTTATTTCTGTTGGCCACTTTTAAAATACATAAAGAAAAGGTTGCTCACTGTTTAAGTGATTTTATCCCCGGCATCAGCATTATTTGCTGTTTTTCTTCAACATAATATTCTAATTTTAGTTGACTGGTTTATGTTACCGAGGCAAAGAAAATGGAGAAGAAATAGAAAAAGATACACAGCAAAAACTCAATTAAAAATGTTAATTTCGAAGAAAAAAAACAGCAAATTACAATTTTCATTTAACAGATCTGCAATATAGATATTTAACGTATTTAAATTGCGAGCAGTTGAATTAGTTCAAGGACCAGCAAATTTCGCAAAAACCATGTTGGAAAATCTTCACGGAATCAATTAACTTAAACAAAATATTCACATCAACAAAATACAATTTGAATGTTAAATGAAAGTACACATAAATTCACCTTTAAATTCAAAGAGGTTTAATTGCACAATTCTTTTCTGTTCTTTGAACTTTTTTTTACTTAAATCAGTTTCAATAATACATCCGCAATCAATTGGATCTGAACTGATTCAGTATCGGGTCAGCTTTTTATCTATTTTGATGCTCAGTTTCTGCCATATATATATTTTTTTTTGGTTTTGGCCTTCACTTTTGGCAGTTTGTTTGACAGATGAACGAATTTGTGCAATCAATAAACTGGATTTCCGCTGCCGTAGAAAAAGAGAGAGAGAGGAAGAGGGAGATGGAGAGGGGAAGAGGGAGAATGTCAAGGCCTTTCATTGCCAATTGCCTGGCCTAAAGTGGCGGTCAATATAAGCCAGCCATTGTGCAGGGCAATTCGATCCTAGTTGAGTTGAGTCATTGGATCGACTTTTAATTGTTTGACTATTTGTCGTCTCATGCAGTCTGTGACAGCAACAAAAATGTTAACAAATGATATTGTCATCAGTGTTATTTTTTTCACATAATGAGTATATTCTTTTTTTTAACAAAAAAATCGGTAATGAGAGAGTCGATTTCAATTTATTTCCAACAAAAAGGTTTATGAAATTCTTGGAAACTTGTATTCAATTCAATTCTTTTCATATCAGTTCAATCAGTTGGTTTCAGGATAATAATTCAATATGCGTCCGCAGTTTTTCAATTTATTTAATTATATTTTTTAAGCTAAGTTCAACTCAATTTTAAATTCCCTTATTATTGATGTGATTAAATTTTTTGCTGTTGTTTCTCTCAAGTTTGATTGCTCTTCCGTATCTATCTCTCTGTTTCTAAATTTAAATTCTTAATTACTTACCTTTTTTCAAACAACCACAGCGGTGCAAAGTTCAGTAGATTTGGGAATGGTTATACATATTTGAACACCAAGTGGCATTAAATTGAAACACAAAATTGTTTACTGTGTAGGCGGCTCGGTCGGATGAGCTACTACTTGCTTGGCAGCTGTTTTAATTCCTTTGTGGTTGAAACAATAACAAAGCCGGCAAGCAGATGCTTTCGCTTTTGTTATACTTGCGCATAATGAGATGGTGTCACCTTTTTGCCTGTTTCACTGTTTCACATCTTCAATCTTCCATTTTCCAAATGCCAGCTGCCACCTCACCTATTCTCTTAGCTGCATCTCAATTTATGCGCTCGCGTCTTGTGCAAACAAATCAGAAGCGTCAAGGATGCATAATGAGTGCTGACAATACCCGCCATATTTCCCCTCCCCTCGGGTGTCTTTACCATAAGCCCCCCGCAACGACACCTTCATTAGCAGCAAATGAAGTTGCGGCTGCTTCAACATTTGCATGCAAAACAAATGGCGGCAAAGTGAAAGCTGAAAGCCAGCCGCAAAGCCAGCGCTCAAATTCATACGCTTTATTAAAATGAATTCAAAATGAAAACCTGAGTAGCGAGCCAGAACCAAGAAGAACAACACTTCAAAAGAAGAAAAACACATACACAAAAAAAAAAAAAAAAAAAAAACAACAAGAGCAAAATTGAAACAAAAACAAGGGCAACAAGCAACGACACCGACCACAAAGCGCATTCTGCGGATTTTGTGCGCGTGGCGGCAGTGGAAAAACAAACAAAAAGCGTTGCATACTTTTCAGCGTGTAGGAGGCCAGGTGACCACAAGGCGTGTCGGTGTTTGTATTTTTGCGTGTGTGGATGTGTGAGTGTGTATTTTCGGACGTGCTTTCAGGCACTCTGTTTGCCAATTGACTGAACAATTTTAATTTAAAAAATTGAGTTAAACAAATTCACACAATGTGAACGACAACATAAAATATGAGAAAAAAAGGTGAGGACGCGTGTGAATTTCGAAAATATATGATATATATATAAACACAAAAGTCCATAAAGTAAACCCTCTTATGCAATTAAAGTATAAACTTAAGTTTTAATCTGCGAGTTTTAAATGCGAAAATGTCGCTTCAAGTACTCGCAGATAGTCAAAATGAATAATCGAATAAATAGTCTATGTTTTAGAGAATGCATTCATACTTATCCTAAAAGACTCTTATTTTATTTGAAATACAACTTTAAAATACAATATTAAATTCCATAAAAAGTTTACGCGCGAAAAAAAAGGCACACAAATCCAAAACAATTTTTGCAGTATGCTTAAGTTGCCTGTCAAAACAAATAAAATATTAAATCAGAAGTAATCTGCTCAATTTTGACAAGCTTGAAGTGTACAAAGGCAATAAATATGCATTTTGTAACTTTTATGTTAAAAAGATTTATTTTGACATGAACTTAACCCGTTTGAGATGTGATTTAATAAAGCATTTGGAAATTTAATATAGCAATTTATAATTTAAAAAACGTAATAATAAATTGATGCCAACTAAAAAGGAACTGAAAGTTTTTCCCAGAAAAATGTGTTCATTATGAGGATTTAGGCTCTCGAAAGATATTCAAAAATGTAGAAATATTTACATTTACATATAGGTACATCATAATTAAATATATTCTTCTCTTCTTTTATATTTTTCACAGGACCCTTTCACAGTTGTCACAAAGGCTGCGCGCCTACAAGAAACGACGACGCGCCTCCTCAGCAGTTTCTGGCCGGGAACAACGCGCTGGCAGCGAGGATGCCGAGGATGAGGAACAGGACTCACTGCGAAGACGCAAACGCTACAATAGTTTGCCAAAAAATGCACTCTACACACAGCACAAGACGCTGCACGAGAGCCAGGACGACGATTATGATGATGATGTCGTCGACGACGATGACGACGACGACGACGAGGACGAGGAGAAGCCATCGAAATCGTCGTCCATTAGCAAGGGTTGTCACTCGGACACAGAGGTTGACCATCAGCAGCAGCAACAGCAGCAGCCGGTCAAGCAATGCCGCGTGACCGTCAGTCCAAGTCATCAGTCGGATTATCTGCAGCTGCCGTCTGTGTGCACCTGCCCCTACTTCGGGGATCGTCCGCTGCCGAGCTGCGTGAAGACCGCCGAAGTTAAGATTATATCGTCCGCTTTCAAGGTGACCACCACGACGACAACAACGGCAACGGCGGTGAGTAGTTCGCCCAGTGAAATGGAACTACTACTCTGCAGCAGTGCCGCTGGCAACAAGGGCAATGCGCTGACGAACAGCCTTAGCGTCGGCCTAGCAGCAGGCGGTGCAAGTGCAGCTGGTGGTGCCACCGCGAACACCCTGTCGCCGAGCAGTGGATTCTTAGCAGCACCCGGCACACCCTGTCCGGGTCGACGCAAACTGAGCATATCGAAGACCGCCTCGGTTATTACCTGGGAGGCCAGTCGTCATCGTCGACGAGGTAGTAGCTTTGGCGGTGTACGCACCTCTCTGCTCCTCACCCCCACAAAGACGGCATCATGTACGACGACAACGACGACGACGCCGCTGCGACGCTCGGCAACCCTACGCAGTCATCAGAATATGAATTATCAGGGCGCTGGAGAGGCAGGAAGTAAATCCAGAACGCCACAATCCTCACCGTGCCTGCTGCAGCGACAGCAAACAGTGCGATCCCATCATTCCCGCAACTCTAGCGTCATCTCGAGAAACTCCTCCCGCCATGGACGGATCATCCGGCTGGAGCAGAAGGCAACCAAGGTGCTGGGTGTGGTCTTCTTCACATTTGTCATACTTTGGTCACCGTTTTTTGTGCTCAATCTGTTGCCGACGGTGTGCGGGGAGTGCGAGGAGAGGATAAGTCATTGGGTATTCGATGTTGTCACCTGGCTGGGCTATGCCAGCTCCATGGTGAATCCCATTTTCTACACCATATTCAATAAAGTATTCCGACAGGCCTTCAAGAAGGTACTCCTCTGCCGCTATTCCAGCAACAGTGCTTGGCGGCCGAGTAGATAGCAGACGCCGGTTAAGTCCGGCAAGCTGAAAACAAATTCGAATCCACTTAAAAATCTCAAACCGCCACCCATCAAGTGTGCCAGCTTTGATTTCGAGCAGCGCTCAACGGTCGTCATCGGTAGTGCCAGTGGTGGTTGTGGTGGTGGTGGTGTCCTCAAGAGGCATTCGAACAGCAGCTCAACGGCAAACTTATAAACCAGTCCAATTTTCTATGTGCTCGAGCTTGTGGTGTACCCCACAGCAGCACCACCCAAAATCAAATGCTCAGAGGTTGGTGTATGTGCGTATTGTGGTTTGTGTGTGTGAATGTGTGTGTGCACACAGAAAAAATATCACTAGATTAAAGTATTGTTATTTATTTTTTTTTAATTTCGTCAAATTTATATATTCTAATTGGTTTTTTTATTATAATTTATTATCAAATATATAAAATATTTGTATAATTTCGACTTAAGGAATATTTGATTTTTACAAATATATTTATCAGGGCGATTGTTTCTCTGAGTGTGCCTGTGTCTGTGTGTATGCGTTTCCATGTTCTAGTGGCTTAGTTCTCTAATTAATTTCAAATTCAATTTCCATGCCATTGAGCACATTTGCAAAGCAAGCCGACACCACACCAAATGGTTGCTATAGCTCTATCCATCCCACCCAACCCAACCAAGCAAACTCAACCAAACCGAAGCGACCCGAACCCAACCCTGCCAGCCTACCATCTTCAAGTCTCCCTGGTCAGCTGTTTGCAGGCTGTTTTAGCTGGCCAAGAAGCTTAGTTGCCACAGGCCACAGCACAACATGTCGTTCTATAATTGTGGTTCACAAGGTGTATTAAGTTTGTGTTCCTCTCTCTCTCTCTCACTCTCCTCTATCTCCTCTCCTATCTACTCTTCAATCCGCCGTGGGCTGTGCAATCATATAACGGGATTATTAAATGAGGCAAAACAGATTTTCAAGTAATTATATTTCGTCATATAATCCTTAAAATATCATACGTTTCCCTTGTTGAAAATCACAAATAAAGAAATTTGTAAATTAAAGAGAATCTTTACGATTTATTTTCGATGAGGCAGGAAGAAATCTCGCAAGCCGTGCAAAATCTATCTATTGATTTCTAATCATTTAATGAGCTTTTATATGAAATGTATGCAAATGTGTCAAAGTCTCTATTATACTACTTAAAATTTGAGCAAATTCCACTCTAGCGAATTTTAAAGGAGACAAGCTATTTTACTATTTGTATTTAATTTCGGAAGGAAGAAATATTTAAATTGTTCTAGGAGCCGAAGAGAAGGGGACAAGCAAGCATTATTTTGCAGATAATGAGTTCTACGTGTAAAAGTGTTTTAGTTGTTGTGTCCTTCCGTTCCTTAGGCTATTTTAAAACTAATATTTTATTTTTATCTATGCCCAAGCTGGACAAAAAGAACAGGGTATAGGAGAAGGAGGAGCTCTTATCTGATATCGATTTTCTAAACATGGAATGACTATGTTAAGTACAACCTAGTAGGAGACGTCCAAATAGAGCGAGGGTACACAAACTTAATTCGGTTTTAATTGCAAATTGTGCTGACGAAATTTCGTATATATTTGCAGGCACTTTAGAGCCAAATGCATTAATAGGTATTTCCACAGAATTATGAATCAATAAACAATTTGCTGTTTGTTGTTGTTGATAAGTGATAAGTTGATTAAACAAATTGCAATCAATATTAGCTGAGCTTTATTTATTTGTTCACTCAGGCTATTTTACGCAATAATGCATTGTTAATTTATGGCAAAATTTGCAAGCCGCTAATGCGAAAAACATGCCAAATTTATTGAAAACGCCCCAAAAACAACACGTTCGCAAAGTCCATGAGAAATGATTGTTGCTGTTGTTATTTTTATCGAACAGATTGCTATTTTTATTTGAAAAGTTGATTCATTTGGCTTCATTCCGTTGGAAAAATAAAACATTTGCGCTGGTCACGTAAAAGGTGCTCTGAGACGGTTGTTGAAAAACAGATGCTTGAAGCAGCACATCAAACAAGCAGTATTGGCAGCAACAATAAGAAAAGCCATAATGAAAGCTATTTGGCTCGCAAAAGTTTCAAGTTTAAAGCGTAATTTTGTGATGTGGCTACAAAGTAAGCGACAAATTTGCAGCGTGGGAGATGCGGTGGTGGATGGGAGCATGTAATGGTGCCATTAGTAGCACCTACTCAAAGAGCTGCTGCTGGCACTTACGTGGCACGAAGCATTTTTTTACAGCTCCTGGTGCGTATAATTTTTCAACAGAAACAAGAAAAAAAAGGCAGGCCGAAAGCGAAACTCGAAAATTTATAGCCATTTATTTGATGGGACAGCGGAAACATTTTTCTGTCCACTTCATTGCCGTCAAGTAGGGCTCGATGATAGGTTGCGCCTAAATGTCACCGTCTGCCGAAACTTCATTGAACTTTAATAGCCTGTCCGTTGGGCAAACAATAAAAGCAACAGCAGCAGAAACAACAGAAAGAGCAGAAACAGCTTCAGATGCTAACAGCAACTTCCGTTTCCGCATTGCCACTTTTCGCAAGCGAAACAAAAGCGAAAGGTTTTTACTTCCGTACAGAATTTGAAATACCCTTCCCAGATCTTCAAATCTTTCCCTATCCTATTTGATATTATCAGGCCTTTTATATATCAACTAAACTTCGATAAGAACATAGGTTAATAAGCAGTCATATTTATGTGCTATAGTTACTAAGACATCATTATCGACATCATTTTATGTGTTAAGAGTGTCGATTCACTATTAGTTTGGCGTTGTAAATAAGCACAATTGAAATAAGCTAGGTAAAATCGAATTTAAACCTCTTTAATGTTGACAACAATCAAAAGGCATCACATTTAAGTAATTAAAAGTTTTCGTGTATCAAAATCATAAATACATAAACTCTAAATAATTACCTAATAAATATGTAAGATACAGAAAAAAGGGGGGAGCATTGTCACAAAACGCTTTTACTAATAGCTATGCTAAGTTGAATACACTTCCCAGATGTAATTCTGCTGAGAACTGTATTTAAACCTTTAATAAGATAAACTAATTTAGTAGTAAATTCTAGTAGTGAATGTTAAGTTTAAAAAAAGTGTTAATCAAAACTTGTTGTACATATAGAAAAAAGCAAATACAATAAGTCAGATGGAAAAATGTATATGTGAAAAAGTAAGCCCAAAACCAGCCTATGATCTGATTAGTGTAAAAGTAGTATAGCTAAAGAATGATATGTAACCGCAAACTATTATAAATGTACTCTGAGTACTTAATAACCAATCATATTATAAACACATAGTAACAACGCATTTCTACGGATCAAAACTACAGGTTTCCCCCGGAAAGTTGCACATTCTCGAATTTAAACAAGAAAAGTGCTTAATAACTAGAAACAACTTGTATGTGTTTGGTTTCTAAAAAGAAAAGTAAGGAAATACCACCCACAAAGTATTAGAAAACCAAAATTAACATAATAAAGGACATATCTCTGTGCTTTGATGTTGTCTACAAATTGTACAAACCACGATAAATTAGATAGTAGATATTAGATATTCCATTCAAACACGTCAAAGACACTGAAACAGTAATATATATAAAATAAATATGGAAATATGTATGACATATTAGCAATAATATTTTATGCTTAACTAATCATAAGCCGTTACATTACAAATTGTACAAATGTGTGTGTTTGTTTTTGAAGAGCTTTTATTATTTACATTAAATGTGCATTCAATCGAACAAACGCCACTTGTTTCATTTATGACGGGGCACAGGACAAATCAGTTGACACAGGCTATATTTACAATAATTGAATGAAGCAACTACAATTTGCTGTTGTGCAATTCAACGGCGTCAATTCAACAAAAACTGCACTCCACTCATAAAATCGGTCGCAATTTGCTGCTGATGGATTCGATAAAAGCATTCAGTCTCGCAATGCCTCACAACGAATTCCACTCAATTAAACATCAATCGACAATTTCATTAATTTGCTTTGCAGACTGAATGAAAAGCATTAAAATGATATAAATAGAAATATTGGAAAAATGCGATTGCATTTCTAAGCAATTATTGTTGCGGTCTAAATATAATTACTGTCTCGGGAAAACATCAGACTTAGAACAGCTGTTTCACAGATGCGTAACACGATTGACGACAAAACTTAAACAACCCCTGCAAGGGTATAATAAAGTACTCACAAGCCATTAACTATGCTATACAACTCGTTCCTATTCCAATTCCACTAAAAGTATGCACTTTAAATGCTGCACCACCTGCACCAGGAGACCAGGCGAAAATGAAAGTTAGCTTAATTTTGCAGCTGCTGCTGACAAGCATCATTATTAGTTGAATGATAATTATGATAAGTATTTGAAGGTACTTGAAAAATTAATGCACACAGTAAGGCCACGCAAATTTGTGAGCAAGTTTGGCGGGCCACAAAAAGCGTAAAGTAAATCCCAACAAAGTGGCGACCAAAGTCATAAAAAATGGGCAACGTCCAAAATAGCGACTACTCAGCGTCTCTTAATTTTATTTTAACTTTAAGGATCTCGTAAAGCACAGCAAGCGGACCGAGGGGAGTGCCACCAGCAAAAACAAAAAAAAAAAAACAAAAGAAAAGTTACTGTAATAAACGCTGCTCTGCTGTTGCTTGTGTTGCTTCTGCTTTTGCTACTGCTGCTGCTGCAGCTGTTAGCGAAGCGACGCAACTTAAAAATTTGTACTCGAGTGCGCCCCAGGGCAGGCAAAAAAATATAAAAAACTGTAGTGCTCTCTTAGGCCCTCGCCATTAAGCTCCACCTTAAAATAGAGCATTCACTAGAACCGAATTTAAGACCAGATCTACATTATTTTTAATATACATACACTTTGAACAAGGACTCACATTATTTTTAAAACGGAAGCTTGTGTCCTTCTAAAACAAGGATATTTTTAAATTAAAAAAAAATGTGCTAAATAAAATATTTGTAATGTACAGAGAACTCTAATTTTAAATTTTTTGTTTTTTATATTGTTTTAAAATATTAGTTTTTAGCATTTTACAAATATATGAAATTAATTCTAAAATGAATTAAAAAAGTTATAGTTTTCAGGTAGATTTTCAATTGAGTTCAGAATGTGCTATATACACAAGGAAAGAAAAAATGAAAAACAACATTTAAAGCAACCTTAACTAGTAAAATATTAAACCAAGACTGATTTTTGTAGAAAGAACCATCTTTAAATAAATTTTTTTCTTTTACTCTACATTGATAACAATTTCAATTAAAAATGCAGAATTTTGATAATTGAGTACATCTTCTTCTCAGTGTATTCATATACATCTGTGACCTGGCAGATACTTTATGACCCTTTTGTTCAACTCATGCAGCTCTGCATGTGATTTATTTTATTTTTAACTACGAAAATCGTTAAATATTTGCGGTTAAATTGTTGTGTAAACAATTGTCAGCAGCAAACGAAACGACCGCGAAAAAATTATTTAAAAAGTTTTGTGGAACTTGGTCGATTTTCGCAGAAGCAGCATAATAAATGCACACGGAACTTAATCGATTGTAGGTTAATAAACGCCTGCAGTTTGTTATTTATGACCATTTATTGTATTTGTGCCATTTATAAAATAAAGCAAAATGGCGAGATATCTATATATCAACTGCAGGCAGTCAGCCGGGTAGCTGTGCGCCTGATTGCATTGATTTACGGTCCAAGCTTGTTGCGCTTTTTATAGCCCCTTTTGGACTGGTTCTCTGCAACGGGAATGCTTTCGCATATACAATGCAATTTTATGCCATATCTAAAGATACCCATACGAACACGGACAACGGAATGCAGCACCTATAATAGCATTATGGCAATCAGTATTAAATTATTTTGATGAAGCCAACAGAAAGCTGAGGAACTACAATAAAAACCACATAATTCAATGCTTTCATTTCAAAGCACTTACAAAACTGATTGTGCACAATTTCTGATGGAATTTAATTTGAGGACAGCCCGACACATACGCAAAGAGACACACACACGCATAAAAAGTAAAGCTGATTGCTTGACTCGTTGGAAAATAATACTTGGCTTTTGTTTAGTCATTCTGATTGTTCCCAGAATGAGGATGTGAGTGTCTACTGTGTGCACCTTGTGGCCAAAAAGGCTGCTGGGTATTTGGAAATTTGTGACAGCAACAAGCTGACAAAAATATTCCTTAACAATAACAGATACGACATGTTGCACGAGCCAATTAAGTTGCAAAAGCAAAAAAGAAATGTATTTCATCGGTTCTTGAATGAAGCTCAGACACAAATTGCAAATTGAATATTAGCATGTAAATGAAATTAGCCAAAGGTATGACAATACACAGCCCTTTCACCTTTGGGGTAAAAACCCTGTAGCTGTGTGTGACCGAGATGCATAATTTGATTATGTGACAGACTGACAACAACACAAAGTGTCAAAATGATTGAAGTCACAGCTGGCAAAATGTGATGGCATTATTCTGGCAAAAATACAAATAATTTAATAAGCAACTGTCGAGAGTTGATTTCGAATACCATTAATTAGATCTAGTCAATCTTTATTTGGCTGCTTATTTATAAGTTCTAAAATTTGAGCTGCAGATATGCCGAAGGTTAAAATAGCTTTTAAATAAACAAATAAGAACCGTACATTTATTTTACAAAAGCTTTCAGATCCAATTCGAATTTAAATAAATAAATAATTAAACAAGATTTTCTCGCACTTCAACTTAATGTTTTCATCTTCAAAATGAACATCACATTGCGAACATTAAGTGACAGATATTTGGGTTGACTTCGGCTTAATGAAAAACTCGTCCCTTCCGCTGCTGTATTGTATTGTATTTGAAATGAAATTACTTTCCGAATTAAGGCAGCATAGCAGCAATGTATATTTTTAAACAGTTTTACGGCACACGTTTGTCGAACAAGTCAAATATTCAATACTATTAAACTGAATCATTAAAGTGTTTAAGTTACGCTAATAAAATGAATAATGTAGACTGCTAATATTGAATTATACACTCTATATATACAAACAAAGTTCAGCTGAGTTTTATGGCTTTGGGCAAACCGCTTTCATTACAAATCTCAAATCTCTGGCCAGCTCCTCTGGCAGCTGCTTCATGGACCAAGATAGAAGAGTTGGCATGCCGACGTCGCGTTTTTATTGATTGCTTTCAATTAAAATGCCGCCAGTTGGTAGCCGTGGCCAATGCCTTTGTGTTAATTTAATTTGGTGAAGACGACTATTAGAGTTCAAAGTTGTGTCGACAGGTCCTCGAGGGCTCGTCAATGGCAAATGCCATGCGGCCGTGGATATTTATTTGTCTAGCTGTTTGCCAGGCCATTGACAGGCAGCTGGCATTCGACTGGTGGTGTGCGTGGGTGGGTGTTTTTGGGTGTTTGGTTTTGAGTACCCAGTAGCAGATTGTTATTCATTCACTCAACTTTTCATGGTGGCACTCTGCACTCGAGTTGAAAACAAAACAAATTAGCTTATAAACATATTTTCGCGCATCCCTGCACCGGACCACAAAACATTTTTGTGTGTGTTCACTGGAATTGGCAGAAAGCTGGAAATGAGTATTTTGGCCTGTTGCGTATTGGCAGCGTGAAATTAAAGTGGAATACTTAACAAGAAATTAACGAAATGCCTTAACATACAAAATGAAATTCAATTGGAAAAAGCTGCATTCTTTTGTCCCAAGAATTAAATATTTATTTTCCCATGTTAATTAAATTGAGAAAAAAAGTATTAAAAAACTTATAATAACAATTTTTATTTATTATTTTATATTATTAGTTCAAAATATTAAACTAAAACTGTTAATAACTTTTAGTAATTGGTATTTTAAATTTAGCTGGCCGTTTTCAATAAAGCTTACTTGCTGACTATTTATTGAAAGCTGTAAAATAATATTATTTAATGTCTACCTAGGCTCAATGCCACAATGTCTTTAGACAGGCAGAGAAGCAGATGGAAGTGAAACTAAAGAAAGTTGAAAAAGAAAGAAAGCTCATCGTTCAACAAATAGACATTTGATGCTGCTGTCTATTCCTTTGGGTAATCAGATATGATTACCAATTTCAGTTTACTCAATCCGTCAGTTGCTCCCAGCGCCCTCAGCTCAATTTGATTTGTTTACCATTTCCATTTTCCATCAGGTCTGCTATCAAATGCACTTTTCATCCCAACTGCGTTTTGGTTATTAAAGCTGTCAGCTAAAGTGGTTAGCTGAGACTCCGGCCATCTCGTCTTCGCCTCATTATGACAAGCTGGATTTTGATTTTGTTGCCATAGCTTGCTGCCTGGCTGACAAAGAAATATGGCAATAACATCTATTTGCAGGTGCTGCTGCTGCTGTTGCTTTTGCTGTTGTTGCTGCTGCTGTTGTTGTGCATTGCGCTTATCAAGTAACGTGCAATATAAATGTCCTGGCTCCTGCAGTCACGCATAAAGGTAGTTAGCCAGGCAAAGTGAATAAATTGACAAAAATGAAAGGTATTTCCGTAACGACAAAAAGCACAAAACGCACAACGAGCAAAAATGTAATTTTCTAAGAAGCACACACAAAAAGAATAAAAAGCACAAAGAAAACAATGATATTGCAGTATCTGACTAGGAGATACCCATTATGTATACAAACTTGTTTTGCGTATGATATACAATACAAAACACCTCCTGACTATTGCATGAATTTACACAATTTCACGATTCCCCCTGAAGCACATTTGTAATGGATACAGGGTATCACAAACAAAAGGGAAACAGCACGTGGGCGGATCAAAATAGGCGGCAGCAAAAACAGAAACAAATGACTCACTATAAATACATGCGTTTCTCATACACAACAAGTTTGTGAGTGTGTGTGTGTGTGAGTGTGAGTGTGTGTGTGAGTGTGTGTGTCTTGGCACAATGAAAAATGTAAAGCGCAAATGAGTTGAAAAGTTTGCCATAAGTTTTCGTACGTGTGTCGCGCTGATACCAAAATTAAAGTCGACTTTTACGCGGTTGCCAAATCTTAGAACTTTGCCACCCAGATAGATACAAAATGTTGTTCTTCCTTTTCTTTTATTTCTTTTCTTTTTTTAATGGCTGAACATTCCATGCCATGGCACTTTAAAAAAATAATAATAAGAAAACTGACTACCCGAGACATTTAGCTGACATTTCAACTTTTCAAAAAATACAAATGTTTGTAAGTAGCTGTTTTTAAACTTTAATTGAGATTCCATTAAGGAATTCATAGCTGTTTGGTATGGTTAGTTGAAGATCTTAATTCGTTCTTGATTCTTTGTTTAATAATCAAACATTTTGAGTAAATTGTGGATTATGAAACTTATGTATATATTTGAAGGAATAAACATCTCTAGCTGAGGTAAATGTTGAATACAGTTTAAGCACTTGAAGATCTGTTTGATATGTAGTATGTATTGAATTACTTAAGTGTTGGGTTAATCCTCAAGCGATCTATCTCAAATTTTGCTTAAGATTACTTGAGTTATCATATGTCTCAAAAATTAAAAAACAAAAATTAAAGTATTTTACTGATGACATAAATCATTTACAGATTTACAGAATTCTGGAAAACAAAAACCATTTGGTTAATGGATTGTAGCCATTAGCTTGAGCTTACAATTTTTTATTTATTGTCGGCGCAAGAAAGAAAAATAAAATGAAAATGAGCAATTTTTGTTTTTGAATGCATTGTTTGTTTTTTGCTGTGTGTCTATAAACTGCTGTCATTAACTGTACACATGTAGCCTTAATTTCCGCCTGTTTTGGAGGCCACTTAACTCTTGGCGTGTTGCTCCTCGAGAGTTTTGAGTTGGGTTGGCATGGCATGCTTATCAAAGATAGGCCAAAGGAGAATGCCATATTTAAATACATACACATATACAATACATACAGATAGGCATTTTACACGCCCACACATTCACACGCACAACGGAGCGTAGTTGTAAAACGTTAAGCAAATAAATGAACGAGGCGGAAATGTATGTAAATATTATTTGCATTTTACTCGACATGTTTTTAATGAGCAAAATAAATATTAACATAGGCAAACAATGGCTGCCGACTGCGCGGTCTGACAAGGACGAGAGCCAAGCCCTAGGACTCCGGGGCTGTCTTCTTGGCGGCCAGTTTTTGGAGCAGCGTCAGAAAACTGAAAGCCTGCGTGATGACCTAGCAGCGAAACAAAATGGAAGAGTTATTAAAAAACGAGTCATTAAACCTAAATTAATAAATCACAGCGTGCTCTAGTCAAGATAAATCAACTCAAAATTGGTTTCTTAAATAACTTCTGTATTTGTTGAACTAGCTCTTTTAAATTAAAATAGCTATAGCTTGATCAAAATGCAAGTAGACTTATGTGAAATTATCATCTGCTGAATTCATTAATTTTTGGCAATATTTTATAGACATTTTTAATAAATAATTTAATACATAAGCAAAGCAAAAATCATTATTAAAAAATTTAAAATGTTTACAACTACTTTCAAATCGGCTGATATGACTAATTCAACCTATCTCGGAATCCTGATCGAGATCATATATACTTTATGGATGCGCTGATATTCCCTGTTGTCAAATCAATAGTTTTCAATAATGTGCAAGTTAACCCGAAATAAAATGCAAACCCACCGATCGCAATCGATTAACATCCATGACATAAAACTTGCCGGCTGTGATCCGGACGGCTCGGCGACTATTCACCAGAAAGATGAGCACATCCCTTTTCATGTTGGGCGCATGCTGCCACCAGATGCCACGCCAGAAGGCATCGCCCACACGGACGCTGTGGCGACTCAGTAGCTCGCCGCAATAGGTGAACATGAGGAGCTCGAAGATGGTCAGGATCAGATACTGCAACTGATTGATCACACGGACAACTTCACGTGAGCCGGAGACTCCGACGAAGACGAGCAGGCACAGCTGGAACGTAATCTGCAGCGACTTGAACAGGCAGTATGGACTAAACAGCTCCTCCAGCTCTGCGGCGCACTCCAGTATAAAACGATGCAAGCGCACGCATTCCACGAGTCCTGCATGGGCGCCTCTTGTCAAACTCAGTGGTGGCTCCATACGCGTCAATGTGAATCTGTCCAAGTCCGTAGGTTGCTCCTGCAGCATTGCATATTGCCCGAGCTCACAGGTTGACTCATCGAGCAGCAGTTCCTGCTGAAGAGCACTGGCAAAGAAAATAAAAACTTCGATTTGAATAGGTGAAGTTGATTTGTTGGTTGCAATTTGGTTTAAAAAAAAACAGTTTATGTTAACATGTAAAAAAGAAAAATGAATAAGAAAGAAGTCATGAAATACATTGCAGATTATATATTATATATACACATAATTTGGAAATGACGTAATTAATTTTGTATTGATATTTTCATTAAAAATACCAACTAAAAAGATAAGCAAATATCTTAAAAAATTTGTCCAATATTTAGTTTTAAGTATGCATTTTAAATATTTAAGAGAAATACGCCGTTTAAATGGAAACAAATTCTTAAAACTAAGGCAATATATAATCCTTTTTTACCCTTTTAAGTTTAATATATATTTTACGATACAAATGTACAATATAACTAAACAAATGTAGAAGTAAAAAAAAACAGACTTTAAAAAGGAATCATAAGAAAAATATTTGTTTTAAACGAACATTTTTTTAAAAATACTTTCTTGTTTCATCAATAAATTTTTTGATAGGAAAATTATTACTCACCGCAAGTCGCGCAGCGATTCTCCCGCCATCAGCCTGGCATGGGCATCCAGATTCTTGAGACTACAGTAGAGCACATCATACTGACCCAGCAGCATTGAGGAGATCGAGACAAACAACAAGCCGCCATAGGCGAATGTGGAGCCCACAATCATCTGACCGTAGAGCTGAATGGCATAGATGAACGGATAGATGTGCTCGGCCATCGCATCGAAAGGATACCAGCAGCGCAACGGAAGCACCCGTATGCCCAGTACCAGTGGCGTGACGCCCCAGAAGATGACACCCGCCATACAGGCGATGAACCAAATGAACGAAAATCTTCTCGCCCAGCTGTACGTGGCATGCATATTGACAAAACTGACACCAGCAAGGGAATGATGACGATACTCTCGATTGATGTGGGTCAGGTAGTGACTTAAACGCTTGGAGCGCAAACACCAATAGATGATGCCATAGGCCGTAAAGAAATATATGATGGTCATGGTCAGAGCATCCGTAATGTCCTCCAGATTGCCCGTGGGCAGTGCATCCAGTGTCGTTTTGGTGAACAGCATTCCCAGATGCAGTGAGATGAAAGCAACCAGCAGACTGTGGAGGATTGCACCTAAACGCAGCACCGACTGCTGCCACTTGGGCTGCGAGCGAAGCAACTCTAGGTTGGGCATCAGGCCAGTCAGCAGCTGGAGCTTCAGATGCAGTCCAAAGAAGTGTTTCGCCCGACATGGATCCTGATCTCGCCTTGCATAACAGACATTCGGATCGATGCCGCCGTGAAACTGCAGACTGGCCATGTTGCCAACTACTAAATGGAAATCTAACTGCTCATCTGCCTGGTTAACGCGGCTATTTAAAGAAAAACTTATAGTGGGTTGCACGGCAAGTGTGGCAGGAGATGGAACAGCCTAATTTATGCATTAATGAGCTTTTAAAAAGTTAGCAGCCAAGTGTCGCACGATGGGTGTCTTAATTGATATTAAAAGGACAGGTGGGCGTTGGCATTCACATAGAGTTGCTCAAATGTTTAATTGCCACTTTCGAGTCCAACAAAATAGTTTCCTGCAGAGACTTAATTGTTTATTAATTCAAGAAGTGGGCGGTCAACGATTAGGTTGATTGAGATTACTATATATTATATACCTATTTGTGGTGTATTTAAAACTTGTATTCCTAAAATCCCTGATTGATTTCAAGTAATCCCCATAAGACAATAAAGCACTATACATTCATGGAAGAATATTAAAGCAGATTATTATATTAGTAGCAGATTATTGTAGGGGAATATTATATTGACTTTGAACCGATATGATTTGAGGCCAGCCCCTATATGGAAATCAGTTTTTAATGCTTTAGACATTTTGTCTCTCTACTTAACTACTTCAACACAAAAAAAACATGTAGTTTTGATGTTTAGCTTAATTGAAAATAAGCAAATGACTAAAAAGACAATTAAAAAATAAATAAAAAGCTACATTTTCATATATTTTTACTACACTACACAATAGTCATATATGTTGATTATCATTATTTGGTATCTATACTTCGCCCACATGTCTTTATTCAGCACATTTTGTATAATGAAACGTGTGCGATGAATTGTGAAAATTGTTGTTTTTGATTGGAAATGCAGCTATTTGAATATAGTTCTTTTTTTGTACAAGCGATTAGTGTTTGATTTTTATTTTAATTTTGCAGTATGGTAATTAAGTTTTGAATAATTCTAAATGTCAACCAGAAGATGTCTCATAGCAAGAGAATAATAAATTGTTGGAAATAACTGTATTTGCCTATGTACACCGCAGCTTGTCTTGCATTCCCGTTTTGTAGTCTTAATCTGTTGTTGCCTGCGAGCAACGGTAATTGTCAGTTCCTTATGATCCAGACCTTCTTCGATGGTATATTTAAGCTACTTTCATGAAGCAAGAGTCAGTCGCTTTTGGTCGCTTGAATCGCGTAGTATAAGTCGCATGAAGCGGACATATATTCTGTATTAAATACAAAGCTCTGAATAAATATAAACCCCAAGTTATAATATAAATTAAACAGAAAATGAATGTATAAAATTGGAAGCATAGAAAATCAATTGCAGGTGTAGTATAATTAAAATTATTTATATTATCAATGAGTGTTAAGTGATACTTAAACGCTGCCGACGACACTTGTCAGCTGTCGTTTGTTGCAATTTGCAATTTGTAATTTGCACTTGGCACTTTTTTGTTTGTTTCATCTTTTGCTCCGTGCTTGTCTTGCAAACTGACTACACCTGTTGCCATGCAAAAGTGTGACAGAGACGAGCAAAAGGCAGTTAATTAATTTTATCGCAAGCGAAGCTAGCCAAAGGTTTGATGGATTCAATGGTGCATAAGCGACAGGTGCTCAAGGCAAAACATTTAATTCTAGGTAAGTTATATAACAGACTCCGTTGAAGGTCACCATTGACCCTCTAAATGTACATACTTTAAGGGATTTTGTATGGAAAAGGAAAACAAACAAAAATGTTCTAAAAATATCTAGCAAAACTCATCAGGGAACTTTCGCAAACTCATCGAAGATATAAATTTATATATATACATATATACAAGTTTGAGTACAAATGGAAACTAATTTAATTTTTGTTTCGTTCTTTTTGGGCTTCGTCCGAGACACAAAGATTGAATTTATTTCGTAGCCAGGCGAAATTGTTACACACTGTTGGGATAATGAGGCATGAAAAGCACCAGCATCAGCATCAGCAGGGACTGGGCCAAGTTTTGTGTCTTAGACTAGGTCTGAGTCTGAGCCCAACTGCTGCTTTACAGCTACTTGGCCAAATTGTTGCCGGGTTGTAAAAAGTTTACACCGAACGCGTCTGCAAACTCCACATAGAGTTGGCCATCAATTTTGCATGCTGCTCGGCTACATGTGCAGTCTTCTGTTGTACCTTTTTCTGTTTTTCTGTTTTATTTTTTTACTTTTTCTTTCTCGCAGAAGATTCTCCCAAAAAAAAAAACACATCTCCAGTCTACCTGCTGTGATTTATTCAATCAACTTGTGCGTCGCGCCAACAGCTCAAGTTCCTTTTATTATTTAGACATCTTCTGTTCTTCTTCTTATTATTTTATGTTGTTGTTTTTTTTGTTGTTGCTCAGCCTTATGCGAATTTAATGTCACTTGGCTGGCTAAGCAAACGTTGTTGCCACATTTAATCTGCATAATTTTTATGAAAGAACAACAACAGCAGCAGCAGCAACAGTGTGACAGGCAGAATTGAGATACTTCATTCAGAGGCCGCAGCCTGTTGTGGGCGAATACGCAATATGCCAAACATTTTACATACATTTACACACATATTGTTGCATACTTATGCGGGTCTGATTTATTTAATTGCTTAAGCGCACACGTCGTGTATGCATAATGAAAAGTGAAATTGCTAAAGATTCGCTTAATGAGCAACTCGGCAATTTTCTTAGCATAATCTGTTATTGTTTTTATTACTTGCCTGCGGATTTGTAAAATGAAAATAAAAATTATATCAAGAACGAGTGTTTTAATAAAAACTAATTGAAGCCAAGGGATACTTATATATAAAAATAAGTATATATGTATATGTTTAATGGGGTCGGAGTTGCTTCCTTGTGAATTTTGCATACTTTGGAATTTCAAATTAAATTTTATATTTACGTTTTCAAAGTTATTAAAATTTGGGAAATATTAAGAAAAAATGGAGCAGAAATTACTTCAATTTAATTAGATTTCAAAATAAAATATATTTTAAAATTAAATCCACCACCATTTTGTAAGTTATTTATGTTATTTTCAATTAGGGGATGGCATGCTATTCGTTATCCGTTTAATAAAAGCTGGCACACCTGTCGTATGCGCTATTTCAATTAACACACATTCTATTGCAGACTGAATTTGTTATTTTGTGCTTTGGCAGCTGCACAAATATTTGTAGAGCTGTGTTCGCCAAACGCCAACCTACTTCTTACACCCCACAACCAACTCCCCGCCACATAGCTTACTGTCATTGCAGTTTTGCAGGAAACTTTTTAATTAATTGCGCTGGCCATTTTTGGTCAGACGACGGCTAGTCTTTAATTGCGAATGATTATGGCAAGGGATAGATGCTATGGGCAGCAATGGCAGTGGTAGAGTGGTAGTGGCTTTCAAATTCGCTATGTGAACCAGACGAACACTGCTAATTTTCAACGAACAAGAGCGCAAAAGTCAATCAGTGTGTCATTAGTATGTGTATGTGCGTGTGTGTGCTGGTCAAGGGGTTGTTAAATAGGCAACAGTCACGCGCTTTGTTCACTTCATGTTTGCTAATTTATGCACGACGTTGCAGCCGCAGGCAACATCGCAAACAGCGAAAAGTTTGCCAACTGACACAGGGGGCAACCAGCTAACACCCTGCCACCGCCGCTCGCACTCCGCACCGCCTAGCTCAGCTTAGCCAATTCGTTGCAAGTGATGTCCTCATTGTTTTTGTCACTGTTTAAACTTTGTCCGCTTCGATGCTCCACCTCTCGCTTGCCTCTCAATGCTGCAAAACATTACTCTTTGACGCCATTTTTCTGTTCCTTTTTTACAGTTTTCAGTTCCCGTTTCCCGTTCAAATTTCCCTTTTTCCCAACAATAAATAAAAGTTTGCATTTGATTCCTTCTGGGCTTTTGCAGAAAACAATTTGTCAGAAAGAAAAGAGCAAAAGTTGACACTGTCATAGATAAATGCCAAAAGACCTTATGCTGGCAATAATGGGATGAGACAAAGTTTCATTTCCAGACGGAATTCACCGATTTTGCACTGGCGGAAGAAAGTGGCTTTTAATTTAATATTAAGATTACAATGATTTTAGTATGAATAATTCGGAAATTACTCTAGTTATAATTAAATAACAAATAAATAGAGAAATTCTAAAATAAGCCCTTGCGAGAAATGCGTGGCTTTAATTTAAATTGAAGTAAGGAAAATTGTGTTAAATAGTTCTACAGCACCCAAAAATTATTTTCGATTTTACAATGGAAAATTAGTTTATGTTTATTCACAATTATTCATTAACATAGTATCTTAAGTGCTGCGAATAAACTCAATGAATATAATAGAATTATATTCTTATCTTGAAGATATCATATATTTTTACTCAATATTTTCCGAACAGTAACAAAATCAAAGAACTAAAAAACATATTAATATTCATTATTGATCTTAGTTTTCTTTATCTATTCTATTTTCAGATTTGTCAGATTGATTTTGATTGATTCACTTGAATATGGAATATATTGCCAAAGTATGATTCTATTTCATTAATCTATTTCTTGTTTTATTGCAAGCCAATTGCCAATCTGGAGCTTGTTGCAAAAGTTTCTTTGTTTAAGCCACACTTCAAGGCAGGCCTCACAACATTACATAGCATCTTCGCCAGTTTTGCGATAACTTTTTAATACAATTTTGTTAAATATTTTTACTTTGATTTCTGTTGACGTCCATGTACGAAAATAGTATAGTTCATAGTCTCAAAATCGATGCGTAGCCGCCTCATCACTCGGTTTGGTCGGTGGCCAAAAAGTTTTTGAGGTGCCAAATCGAGTTAAGTGTTTGAAGCTGCTGCCTGCCTGAGTGTGGCTCACACACACACGGTCTAATTGAATTTGTGGTAAAGCGGCAAACACTTTAAGTTTAGTAAAGCTCTCACCCTCTGGCAGAATGCACATCAAACAACAATAACAATTAGCATTAACGCACATTGACGTGGCAGCTCAGCTTATTTGGCCATTGGTTAACTACTTTAGTTGGCCAAGATTTCACCACTTTTATTTTCTTTTGGCGGCTTGCGTCGTTTGTCTCGTAAAACGCAAGTAAACTTAATTAGGCTAACGATTGCAGTAACTGAAACCAGCATCAGTAACAATTCTGGTTCTTGTTCTGGTTCTGGTTCTGCTTCTGATTGTTGTTGTAGCTGTGTGCTGGTAATGCGGTTTGCCCACATGGCTTAACTGGCATTCGCAATGCTTTTGTTTATTTCTTGTCTACAGTTAACGCAAATGCGGGCCGGCATGTTAAATGTTTGACTGTAATTAACACACACACACACACATAAGTACACACGTACATGAATCGAGCAACAATTTATTGCATTGCGTGTGCGAGTGTGTGTAAATGTGGGTTGTGGCTCAACAGTTAAACGCTGTGGTCATGTATGTAAAATTTAATTTATTTATTTCTATATGCAAAAAAGCCTTTACAAATATTTATATAAATTAAACAAATAGCAACCAAACTACTGAAATCCTTTGAAAAGCTCTATAGCAGCGTTAAATTTGTAATGTAATTTTTGTTAATTATCGTAATTTAATTTACAAATGAAATCAATTTAATGGACTTATTTGTAACCGCTCACAAACTAAAATGTAAGAAAATGAAAACTTTGAAAATTTGCTTACAACTAAGTATATTTTTTTAATAATTCAGATTTATATAACAGTTATTTGATAATGAAATTTAACTAATACCTTTAATCAGTTTAATCATTTTTACATCAATCGCAAATAGACGCCATAAAGAGGTGAATAACATTAAAAATAATAATAATAATAGTTATATTTATTACTAAATATTAAATTAAAATATGGAAAGCATATACTGAAAGCATATTTTCCCCTGCTGTGGCTGTACAGCAAGTTAATAATAGGTGTTCATTTTTGGCTATTTAAGGTTAGTATTTTAAGGAATAAAATCAGTTTGAAATACAACTCAACCGATCCAACACGCATCAGTGCTCCTTCTATAAGTATTTGTGGTTTGATTATTTTAATAGTTTTGTTTAATTTGCCAGTCTCATTAAAATCGCATTACGTGCGCAAACAGAATGCGTCGATGACTGTTGAAATTGGCCTTGAATGCAAACCGCAACTTGACCATATTCATACAAAGAGCCGTTTCTATGCAACGGCTAATCAGTTGTGGCTCAAACATACCAACTGGTTGGTTGTTATTGATTTGGGGCTGTGCACCTGGCTCACTTGCGAAAAGGTCCCATCAGGTATCTGCTTGAATTAAAGTTAGTTGGCCCAGTCAGGATAATGAAGGCGCTGCCTGAGCTTGTTATACAAATAGCTGTTTGTTAGTCAATTAAGAAGATGAAGGCAGTTAAATATTTCATTAGAGCCGGCAACGTTTGTCTTGATTATGCGTCAAGTCAGCGTATGGTTGGCGCATAACTAATTGAAAACTTGCTAAACTTTTGCTCATTAATAATAAGCCAGAGCCTAAGCGAGCCAGGGCAGCCCAGGGAAACGAGTCCTTGAGCAGCATATCTTCTGTCTGTCCCATTTGATTTGTTGGAAATGATTTAATTACTTATTGCAGAGTATTCTAAAGCTATTATTAAACTGAATGCCCGTTGGCCGCACTAAATACGCGTATTAGATTGATGCTGTGATTATTGAGGACGACACGCCCCCATACCCGTCCTCGCCTCCATCCCCATCCCCATTCTCACCCGCATCCAACATTCTCAGCCACTTTTGTACGCTGTTAACTGTTTTCTGAAGCGTTAACGAGCTTGCCACCGCTTAATGCATACTTTTCTCGTACTTTCTCGAGCTTTGCTCGATTTGTAGGGTTTCCCCGGCAGGTCGAAAAGGCTAGCAGCAGGCAGGAAGGCAAGCATTGAATTATGCATGTCTCGTTGCACAAAATGACGAAAGTGTGCGGCAACAGTGGCAAGATATTCATTTATTACAAGTCACAGCTGCGGAGTCATAAGGCAGTCAAGAAAATCAGTCTGAATGGCAGGTTGCAATAATTGAATGAATATAATTCAATAAGTTATTACAGAACACATCAACCTCTTTTCTTTCATAATAAAATAAAAATATTTAAGCTGTACAAAATTTAAAGACTTAACTTTTAACAAATATTTTCGTATATTTTTTTAAATTTCCATTTTTTATCAGTTTAGTAATAATATTTACATCTGAAAAGAATTAAATTCTATAAATTTTTACGAAATTTAAAGGCTGCACTTTTTGCAAATATTTGTATATATATTTTTTTTCTTTTTCCATTTTTCTTTTCAGTTTAGTAATAATAATATTTACATGTCAAAAGCATTAAATTTAATAAAGCAAGCACTCAGAAAAAATCGTAAAAAACTGTCTATGGAATATTTGGGTCATTGCTAAAGAAAAGTGAAAAATTATTAGACGAGAATCTCTCGTTTTCTACACAATTTCGTCATAATATGTTTCTGCATGACAAAAGCATTATAATTTAATAAGCACTCAAAAATATGCAAAAAATATGCAAATTCTTACCGAAATATGCTGTAAAATATTAAGGAAATTTATGAAGGAAAATATAAAAACAACTTTAGCGTTATCTAAATAATTTGAAAACTGGTAGATCAATCGGTATAAAAAGTCAAGCCTAAGCTAAGATTCGTTGTACTTGGATTTACAAAAAAGTATTAGATAGGAGTTTTGCTAGTTTTTCGCTTACTTACTTAATAAATTAACAAAATATTTATGAATAAATACTTTAAAATTATATTAAAAGTAAGTATAAGAAACAAGAAATATTCGAAATAGTTCTTAAATGCTCACTAAAATATTAAAGTGTTTATACAATATTGTAAAATTTCGTTTGCTCGTAAAAATAGAAGTATATAAAAACAAGTTGTTTTTTTCTTAGTGGCCTTTAGGCAATTCACACTGTACTTTTGATACAGGTACATTTAGTACATGCATATATATATACATTTACATATATCTTCATCAATTTGATTGAATGCATTGCTGACTTATTGATACAAACAGTTTGCTGTAGGAAATTATTTTGTAGCACGTGCCTCGTCTGCCACCTCCTCATACCTCAACCACCCACTTAAGCCTTTGGCATATGGAATTCTTGGGAATATTTGTCCAATTTTCTGATTACTCTCAATGTGCCAAACATTTGCAAGACAACACTTTGGCCAGTTTGCCTCGTTCAATGCAATTAAATCAATAGCATTACGTATACGCAAAGTAAACATAGAACAGGCAGAAAAGATGGAAGATGAGGGGGGACATGAAGTTATTTCTCGGCTTGCAATTTGCGTCAACAGCCCCTAGTAAAAGTGAATTATTATTGTGCAAGTTTCAACAAATTCAATTAACAACGTAGAAAATGGCAACAAAAATTGCATTTTTAATTGAAAGATTGCAAAAACAATCTTTAAACCACTCAAGTAACTAAGTAAATGATAAGGTCAAGCGATGATGAAGTGATGATTATCTACGCTCTACGCGACACACTGGATATTCCTGCAGCTTCAGCGATATGCTGCCCTTGACCAGCAACTGTTCCAGCCGGGCATCGGTGCGGATGCGATAGCTGCGAAAGATTTTGGCCAGCAGCACTTTCATCAGAAGCTGGGCGTAACGATAACCGATGCACATGCGCAATCCCTTGGTGAATGGCACAAAGGCGAAGGCATGATGTGCTGGTGCATCCGCTCCAAAATGTGCATCCGGATTGTAGGTTTTGGCCAAGGGACCCCAAACACGCTCATCCCGCTGCATGTTGTAGATATCAATGCCGATTTGAGTACCACTCGGTATCAGGAATTCACCATCGTCACGTCGCAGCTGCAAATCCTGCCCAGCTTGACGAAGTACCATGGGCACGGGTGCAAACAGACGCATCGATTCGTTAATTACCATCTCGGTGTATCTGAGCCTCTCCAGCTGCTCCATGCTTATATCACCATATTCGGGCAGCTCGGCGGCAAGTTCCTCGTGCAACTTCTCCTGATATTCCGGATGCATGGCCAGACATAGGATGGTGAAGTACAAAGCCGTCGATGTTGTCTCGAATGTCTGCAGCGAATGGATAGAATTGATTGAGTGAAAAAGTGTCTTAAACTTAACTACAAATAAAATGTATACTAAAAATGGGTTGCAGAAGGCATCCATCAAAATGGTCAATTAATTTGAATTGCCTTGGATTGTACCCCATTCGTTTTAAAAGGCTTCAGCCAGACTGGTTGCTAGTAATGAACCCTTGACTAGATGTTCCTTCTCATGCCTCACCACTGCGGCTTATACCTAATTAAAGCTGAATTCATACTTTTACCCATCAAAATAACACGGTTAATTAACTTAAAAAAAAAATAAGCAAAATACAACATTTTTCACATCTTACTCAATTTATTAGGGCTTTAAAATGACTTTAAGACTGAGGGAATATCGATGTGTTTATCAAAACAGATTTTAAGGCTCGACCTTCAACGCACATAAATGCTAAAAACAAAATTGGTGGTCTTATGGACTATTGTTTGGTACTCACCGCCGCAATAATTACATTCGCCTCATCTCGTACATCCTGCCAGCTCATTTGCAGTCCTCGTTCCACATGGTCCCGCACCTGTTCGATGAATATCGACTTTGACTTGATGCGTTGTTGTTGCTGTTGATTTAGTTGTTCGTGTTGTTGTAGTTGCTGCTGTTGATGTTGTTGCTGCTGCTGCTGCTGCTGCTGCTGTTGTTGTTGATGTTGTAGTTTTCGTGGTCGTTGTTGGTGTTCCAACTGGTTGTTCGCATCACAATCTTCCACGCCCACCACAGAAACGGCTGGCTGTAACAGCTGCGAGGAGTTGGCATAGTCATGAGCAGACAAAAGTTCTGAGGATAAGCGGAAGTGGAACGGCTTGACGCCCACACGACACGACAACACACACATACCTGCTCAATGAAGCCAAAGAGAACCCCGACGACCTTCTGCTGTCGGTCAAAAAGTCGCGACCAGCGATAGATGAGCTCCGGGTAAAGCCAAGGAGATAGCATACGCTTCACACACACCTCCGTTACTCTGTCAAAATCGGACGACATGAAACGAAACGAAAGGAAACGTTGCAAAAATGTTTACGCTGTGGGAATTTGAATACCCTGCCTACCAGCCTGCCCCGCCCCTGCCCCCTGCCTCCCCTACCGGAAAAGCACCCAAAGCGCCAACTCATGTCGCAGTGTATTAGGCATGGCAGAATGGCCAGCGAAGCTGCTGGATTGTAATTAGCTAATAGGTGAAGACAAAGTGGCCGGGCATCCAGTCATGATGCTATCTCTCTATTCTCACAGAGCAGAGAGAGAAAGAGAGGGAGAGAGTAAGAGAGAGAGAGTGAAACATAGCTGAAGTGCAATCGAGCGTGGAATTGAATGTGAAAGCGACTTGTAAAGTGTGATTAAGTTCTGCATAGATTTAGTTTAACTAAAACAGATGTTAATTAAGCTTGAGAAAGCTCAATAACTATCTTAAAGTTTTAAATTAAAATACTACGTAAATGTTCTAAAATTGGGGCTTTGAAAAAGATTTATTGATCGAATATTTTGTTCCGTATAGGAAACCAAAGTTTCCTCATAATTAAGAAAAATTGTATCTGTGATTTGATTGTAGAATATTCTCAATTTCCCCATGTGTGTCTGTGATTTGTAGAAACTGCCACTTAATTTGTAGAATATTCTCAGTGAAATAATATTGCATGCTACACACATATTCCGTGCCATTTACTCAGTTCGCTTTTATGCCTAAAAAATGTGTTTACTTACTACAAACTACTACTTTTCTAAATGTATAGAACGCCGATTTGGAAGTGTCGCGTTTGGAAACTATAAGAGGAATACCAAAATTGGTCGTGTAGATGACGCACATAGAATTTATTTTGCTTTTTTTGAAGTCAAACTAAATGAATTTAAAATAACGATTGAAAGATTTATGACGGTTAGACGGTAGCCAATAGAATTTTCCCTACAAACGTGTTCAATAACTCACCCATTATATGCCTCAAAGATGGCCATGGAACCATCGTGTTGAAAATTCATTTTTTTGCCCATTGTCGTCTCTGTTGTGGAAATTCGAAATCACACATTAATCAGAAATTTAATATGGTGATCCAATGACTACTTACGACAAGCTGCCTCCAGGACAATTTTCTTGAGTATTTGATAGATTTCGAGACTTTTACCACGCTGCACACCCTCCAAGTCCAGCTTATCGAGCAGAACCTCCGCCTCGGCATTGAAAATGGGCAAAAAATTGCACAGAATCTGACGGCCAAATGCAGGATTGATGAGCCGACGATGCTTTTGCCAGCGTGGTGCTAACAAACCAAGTTAAATATTATATATAATATGTCAAAGATCATAGCTCATATCCCACACACACTTACAGCTGGAGGTAAAGAGTCCATCGCCAATGGCTGAGCTCATAAAGCGATAGAAATCGCCCTTGTTGGTGCAGTGCGTCGAATTGAAGATTTGCTCCACAGTTTGTGGGTCGTTGACATAGAGGAAACACTTGGTGCCCATCCATGAGATGAAGGGCGCCTTGTACTTATGCGACAGTCCGCCCATATACTGCAGAAATTCTACGACGAACAATTATTCGATGCAACCGAACACATTTCCGGTGACACTCACTCTGCGGATTCATCATTTGCAGACCCATGCCGATGAGTGGCCAACCGATTGGACCGCGCAGTTGCCAGGCTGCTTTGTAGTAGCATCGTCGACTCCATAGAAAGTAAATCCATAAGAGGGTCAGCCAGCTGGCCAGAATGATGCAGGCCAGCATGTCGTTGAACTGCAGAGAGCCCGAATCGAATCGAATCGAAATAAGTTTACGCCACCAGGCACCAACTAACACTGAGCTCCGGGGCAACTCATCGGAGCTTGGCGAGTCCAAGACCAGGTTGGCCCATTGAGTTTTGTATATGTACTACGAGATTACGCATTTGTGGCGCTAATACGACAATCTCAATTCCTGCCACGTGCCGGGGTCTACGCTAATGCATCGATTTAAATGCCAGTCGCGTATTTTTCCAAAAAAAAATTATGCCAGTCAATATTATGCGATAGGCATTATTAGAAACCGATAAGCCTAGGCAAATAAAACGTTTGTGGTTTTCGAATACATGAATACACTCAAAGGCACTCAAATTTGTAAATAATTAACTTAAACATCAGTGCGCTCAATGGATTGAGTGTACTCATTTGTGAAATCTTTATAGTTGGGCATGAATTGGATCAATTTAATTCTTAAGAAAACACTACAATTGGTTGATTATTTAACTATGAATCAATTGCAGAAAACTTAATAAATAAACAATTATTAATAACTAATACATATTTTATATGATAAATATTAAAATTCCAATCAATAATCACATAAATTCCCAAATCTAACAGTAAATAAAAACAAAAACAAAACATTTTTATAATCATTTTGATTTACTTAAGAAAAAAAAAAATGTAATTAAATATACTTTTGAAAAAAAAAACAGTTGAAATGAAGTAAAATATTTGCAAATGGATTAATATTCCACATAAAACTTAAATTAATTTTTTAGATTTCAAGTATTGGTCATAAATCAGGAATAACCAAACCAAACGACCTACAATTTATGGCATTCACAATCAGCTGTATTCAAACACCCATAAAATGATTCACTCTCGAACACAACAGCAGAACCAATATGCCGCAATGGAATTGCTGTAGGCTATTGAAATAACAATAATATTGCATGTTATGAGCTGATTTTGATTTAGTAATGGGTTAATTATTGGGTCAATAGGCAGGTCTATGGAGTGGAAGTGTGCTGTGTAGAGTTTTCAAATATATTATTTATTCACTATTCATTTGTTTGCACTTTATACAAATTCTTCAAATTAAGTTTAACAATATAATTTGTTTTCCGTGCGTGCACGTTTTCTCTTTCCATACCTTTGTTTTCTCATTACTTTTAGGCATTTAATTATTATTAATTATGTTTGTGGTGTTTTTGTTTTCATTTTCTTCCCCGTTTCACATTATTTGGGTCTTATTCCTTTCAGAGGGTTGAGTTGAGTTGTGTTGAGTTAAGTGAGAGTTGTAAGCCGGGTATTTTATTAGATAATTACTTAGTTTGCTTCGCTTAAGATTAGGACAGTGCAGACAAAATAACCCATCCAGGCAAGATATTGCCAGATTCGTTCTTAATTTGTTCTATAGAAATCGCTGCTCTTAGGATAAAACATAGTACAATATATTTTCATATATATCGAGTTTTGCTTAATTCCTAGGCAAACAGCCGGCTGGCATTTTATGGATAAGCTAAGTATGTTTAAAAAGATTGCGAATGTTTTTTATTTTTTTGTTGTGTTTTTTTGTTTTTTTTTTTTTTTGTTTCATGGACGTTGCGTTTTCACTTTGAGTTCATATTTTGTATATTTATAAGCAAGTAGACAGTTTGAAAGGCCATGGATCATTGGAAGGGGAATTTGAGAGACTTTCTTTTATCTTTCTCTTATTTTTGTTGACTGGGATTTGCATAAGCTACGTTTTTTCTTTGACTACTTGATCTGACTTGCAGTTACAATACTATACTCGTTTAGTACTACTTTATGTATATATATGTATATATATATATATATATTTATATGCTACTAATTTTGTATATCTGTCTTCGTATCTGTAGTATGCCTATATACACATTACATACACCTAAACATTTTTTCATGAATCTGCTTACAAAAATTATACATCTTTTATTGTCAAAAAATATGACGTCTCGACTCGGCTCAACGATTGCATTTTGCCTTTGCAATATAGCTTAGTTATACAATATGCTTAATAATTGCAATTGTTGTTAATTTCTTCATTTTGTTTTTTTTTTTGTTTTTGTAACTTCTTTAGTTAGTTTAGTACCATACGTATTATTTTTCAAAATGTGTAGTATGTTTACTGTTATTTTTACTAGAACAGGGGGGAGTTCACGAGCAATTCAGTACGCTATTTAAACTGTATTTGTGTATTTGTTAGAAACTTTGCATATTTGCTGTTATACATTATTATTTTATACCCCAGCTAAATGACAAAATCAGATTTTTCAGTTAGATTTCCATATCTCTGGCACATCTTTATAGTTTGGCCATCAAGATCGGCTTAAAAACACGTTTGTATTTTGTTTTATGGAACATCATCATTAGAAACCCATATGAGATCAAATTCGTATTGGGAAACCTTGCTGATCTGCCACAATATATGTTAGATAAGACTACATGAGATTTTAGCAAGGATATAAAAGCTTCGACTGGCCGAAGATTTTTCAATAATCACTCGTATACATATATATTTATGTGTATATATATTTCATGATGTTTTTTGTCCGAGCAAATTTAATTGCATTCCATCATTTCATTTGTTTTTCTTTCACGCTTATTACAAAAATATTTATGTTTTCTATATTTTTCAATTATGCTGCTAGTTGTTGTTATTCTTTTCAGGCTTAATGCTTAATGCGCTTAATTATGCAACAAAAAGTTAAAAAAAAAAAAAACAGGATATGAGTAATATGTATATACTAATAACCGGGCGCTTTACGAAAAATTGTGATTTCTGGACGCTGTGTGGCCTGTGTTGCTGTAGTTGTTATTTTTCCACATATTGTATAAATATATAGATATATATGCATATACATATATACATATATACATACATACATATATATATACATATATATAAATGTGTATATGTATACAAAATAAAATTAGCTTTTGCTTTCACATTGGCGCTTGCATAAATATAAATCGAAAAGACATTGGCATTATTTTTGTTTTCCTTCGAATTTTCTTCTTTGTGTTTTTTTGAGACGGGAGCTTAGACGGTGCAAATTGCTTGTATGTGTGTGTGTTGTGGGCGTGGCATGGCCATGTGTATAAGCGTGATTGTGTGGTGTCTTCGTGTGTGTATAAGCCTGGCTAAGGTATCCTAAATAAACTAACTGCTGCGAATTATTATTAATATATATGTATATATGATATATTATTTTATTATTAAATTGTTTATGATTTCACTTGTTTTATCATATTATTCATACTTAGGCACAATACATTTATTTTGTTTTGTTTATTCTTCACTTGCTGCAACTGATTTTTTTGTTGTTTTGTTTTCTTCTAAATATTTTTAGGTATTACAAACTAAGCACTACGCATAAAAACATTGGTGTTGGTGTCTGTCTGTCTCTGTCTCTGGGTGTGTGTGTGTGTGTGTATTTATTGTTGATTATTTGTATTATTAGATATTTGATTTGATTAATTCTGTATTGATTTGCATTAATTTCTCCTACAATTTTAAAAATGCAGCCACTTGGCAAATAGTTAAAGCTTTTTACTTAACTTTAATACGCAAACGAAATGTTTAAATTGTGTACGAAAATATCTAGAAAAGAAAAATATACAAAACTAAATAGAAATCATGTTGAATGTGTATTTATTTGTTGTTTATGGCTATTACTTAATTGGCGTTCGTCATACAATTTACTTTATGCTGTTTAGTTAACATTTCCATTTTTTAATTTGCGTATAAAATGTTACAAATATTGCTTCCGATATATTATTAACAATATTTAAACAAAGCCATCCGTTTCAAATGCTAATATACTAACTTAAAAGAAAAGGCATTCATTTATCATTTTTTACACACAAAAAAACCTTTTTGGGACATTTTTCTCCTTCACAATTACAAAAATTATATACGCACTTTACAATTTTTTTGTCTGTCTGCTTACTTGCTGTTTTTTTGCTTTTTGTTTTTTGTTTTTTTCTTTAACAAAATACGCGCTACGTTTACTACGAATGCTACAAAGTAGACAACAATTTGTTATTTTTTTTTTAGTTTTTTCCATTTTAGTTTGCTTTTGTTGTTACGGGTTGTTTTTGCTTAGTTATTTTATGACTTGCTTCAGTTGCTTCAGATTAACTCTCCGCTGGCTGGTTAGTTGTGAATTGCGTAATGCCATCGCTCTCCATGGACTCGAGCACATCGGCCACATAGGCGGCGACATCGGTGTGGCTATTCTCGCCTCTCCTTATAAATGGCATCTGCAGCAATAGGCTATACTTGGGCCGATCGCTCTCCTTCTTAATCAGGCTGTAAGCGAAAATAAAACATAAAGCAATATAGCAATTTAGCTAATCGTCGCTAATCTTTCGACTTACCAAGTGTTGACAAATTCAGCAAACTCAATGGAGAACTCCATGCCATTGTAGGAAGTGTGCAAGCGTGGCGGATCACCTTGCACCACCTGCAAAAATAGAGTAGTTAATCGCAATTTAAATAGGATGCCAAATTTGAAATTCTCACCTGGCAGAGCTGCTCAAAGACCGAGTCCCATTTGCGATAGGGAAAGTTGCCAGTGGCGACCTCCATTAGGGTTATACCCAAAGACCAAACATCGCTGCGCACATCGTAGCCCTTGGCCCGTTCCGGATCAATGCGTTCCGGCTGCAAACACAGAATTTAATTGCAGTCAAAAATATAAAGTTAGCGCACCTACCGCCATATAGGGCCTACAGCCGGCATCCTTTGTCTTGGCTATTGAATCAACCAATTGGCCAGAGATGCCAAAATCACACAGTTTAATATCGCCGCGTCTATGCAACAGAATGTTGCTCGGCTTCACATCGCGATGGATGATCTTGAGCTCCTCCTTCAAATAGTTAAGCGCATTTACCGTGGCCACCGTAATCTTCGCCAATATGGATTCGGGTATATGCCGTTGCTTCTTCTCGAATATATACTTGTAGAACTTGTCCAGCGATGTGTCCATTAGCTCCATGCATATCCAGCAGTCGCCCTCCTTGAACAGTGCCCCATAGAATTGCACAATGTAAACGCATTCATTCGACTTCATCACCACCTCGAGATCCATCAGCAATTGTTTCTGCTCCTTCTCATCGACCGTGGAGCGTATACGCTTCACAGCCATCACTTTGTCCAGTTTCTTGAATATCATTTTATTCACAGCACCAAATGCACCCCGTCCAATCTCACCCAAATCCTCCAGATCATCCGACGTAAACTGATGCGTATTGATGGCACCCTCACCAAATTGCAATTTACCACATGCCTGCTGCCTGATTCGCTCCCGATGACGATCCGTTGCACTGCTGCCGAGGCTGGCGACGCTGCTGTTGCTGGTGCTGTTGTTGTGGCTGCTGCTGCTGCTGCTAGGCATGGGAACAGCGGGCACAAAACTGTTCTGGGCGCCAAAACGTAACGCGACATTATTTTGCTGCGATGAGGAACTCGAGCCGGACGATGTGGAGCCCGATGACGTTGACGACGTGGACGATGGCGGATGTCGAATGCTCAGATTGTTCAGCGTGAGCTGATCAGGTGGCACACGAGACCGACTCGGTCCAGCTGCGTGTGTGTAGATGTGCGTGTATATATATATATATATATATATACATATATATTTAGATAATAGATTTAGATAAGATGCAAAAATATGACATTTTATGAGCTATGTTTTTGTCTTATCAAATGCATTGCGCCCAAAGCAAATGCGTCAGTTAAATGCTACGTGTGTGTGTGATTGTATGTATGTTCTTTGTGTGTGTGTTCTTTGTGCGTGTGTTGTTTGTGTGTGTTTGTGTGTGTGCGTGGGCAGATTTTGGTTACAAGAAGAATTACTCACTCGCAAACAAATTTTTGGGTCTCTCAGCCATTGTTGCTTACTCGCTGGCAATAATTGTTTAATTATTTGTCGCTTTGTCGACCCGTCCGTCTGTGAGTCTTTTTCGTTTTGGGCCGCCGCGCCCCAAACACACACGTCGCTTTTTTTTCCGGGGCGCCGAAGTAATTTTCGCAGCGCAAACTGACAAAAGGATATATTCACACCATAACCGTAGCAGCGAGTTGCGTTGTGTTCTTTTTTTTGTTGGGTAACTTGAGTGCACAGCTCAATGTGTTATTTAAGCTGTTGTTTGCACATTTATGCGCATATTTATTTTCACACTAGCGTTTTTACATAAAAAATAGACTAAAAAACATTAAAAAGGCAGCAATGCAACAAAATATGCAGTGTGACCGCACGACACAGCACCAAAAATGCCACCATTTAAAAAACCAAAACTACCAACTGCAATGTAACAGTGTCTGAGAGCATATGGTAACACTATGTAGCGTTGTGTGTTCGCCCGTGACTTTGTTAAAAACTAAATTGCATCGCCCGTGACTTTGTTAAAAACTAAATTGCATCCGTTTTTTGTTAAAAGTAAAATCACTTGTCAGTTTTAAACTGATTTTAAACAGTTGCACTTTCTAAGCTGTTCTACAACTGACAGTTCAAAAGCGCTCTGTTCATAACAGTGCCGCATGCTGTTAACCTCACAAGTGCTGTTATAAAAAAGTAAACAACATAAATTACATAAACTATCATGTCCGGCACCGTGGCACGTAGCAGCTACAAGCTATTTGTGGGAAATCTACCATGGACCATTAGCAGCAAAGAGCTGCGCACCTATTTCTCCCGATTCGGCCATGTGGCCAACGCAGAAGTCATCTTCGACAAACAGCTGGGCCTCTCCAAATATTATGGATTCGTGATTTTCAGCCAGCGGGATGCGTTCAACAGTGCCAGCAATCAGAACACACACTTCCTCGAGGGACGTGTGCTCAACGTGCAACGTGCGAACGAACCCAGCTCTGACACAAAATAAATACCAAATAAATGCAAAACTAAATTATAAGTAATCAACTCGCTGTTTACGAATTTGAAGCTGCGATATGGCAGCGCCAATGCTGCACTGCCACATCGTTGAAAACAGTCTAACCGGATCAAGGTTGTAATGGAACTCATTGCAAATAAAATGTTGATTCACTGTTGAACGTACAAATGTAATATAGTAAGAAGAGTACAGGTATAAAGAAAAATAATTAAGTCGCAGCTTATTCAATGTATCTCAAGCTGTGTATCTAGCAACGCCAATGTCGAAAACATCTCGTTTCATAACAGCACTGCCACATCGTTGAAAACAGTGCAACCGGATCAAGATTATAGGGAAACTTAAGATTTAAAATACAGTTTGTTTTATTCAGATATAAGAAGTTTACAGCTATTTAAAAAAAACGAACAATTTGATTGTTCCTTTCAGAGAAACTAGGGTAGATATTGCAAATGATTGGAGCCGACAGCGTCGCGGACATTCTTGAAGCCCCGTTCGTTGAGCTGCTGCGACAGATCCTCCTTGATGCGATCGACGAGATCAGGTCCCTCGTAGACGAGCGCCGTGTAGATTTGCACAAAGGAGGCGCCCGCCTCGATCTTCTCGAATGCATCGTGACCCGAAGCCACGCCACCAACACCAATGATGGGCACCCGGCCCTTGGTCAGCGCATACATCTGTGCAATCAGCTCTGTGGATCGTTGACGCAACGGTTCTCCGCTCAGCCCACCAGTTTCGTTGGCCAGTTTGCTGGCGCTGATGTTCTCACGCGCCACAGTCGTATTGGACACAATCAGACCATCGACGCGGCATTGCTTTGTGTTGATCACCGCAACGATGTCCTTCAGATCATCCAGCGCCAGATCAGGCGATATTTTCAGTAGAATGGGTACCTTCGGATTCGTTTTCAGCTCAGTGCGAGCTCGGGTCACCGCCTCGAGGAGAGTGGTGAGCTCCTTTTTGCACTGCATGTCGCGCAAACCCTTCGTATTGGGACTGCTCACATTGACGACGAGATAGTCGGCAACTGGTCCCAATTCCAAGACACCCTGCACATAATCACTGATGGGGGTCAGACTGTCACGATTCCGGCCAAGATTAACGCCGACCACCGCATTGAAATCCTCGCGTTGCCGAAACTCACGCAAACGTTCCGCCACCAGTTGATGGCCATCGCTATTGAAGCCATACCGATTGATAATCGCACGATCCTCGCTCAACCGAAACACCCTCGGCTTGGGATTGCCCGGCTGTGGTAGCGGAGTCACGCTGCCCACCTCGATGAAGCCAAAGCCCAAATCCTTCAGTCCGATGACAGCCTCGGCATTCTTATCGAAACCGGCAGCAATGCCAATGGGATTGCTGATCAGCCGGCCAAAGAACGTGCTGTGTAAATTTAGATCATCCATCTGCTCGGACGCCGGATACAGGCGATATTTGCACGCCAGCACAGCCAAATTGTGGCTAGCCTCGGCGGGCAGCAGGCGTATTGCCGGCATCACGAAAGTGCCAAAGAGATGATCCTGATTGTTGTAGGCTGTTAGGCCAGCGAGCAGCGCTGTGGCGCCCGCCGTCACAATGCCCAGCGAGCGTAGGCGGTTCTGCAATAAAACAACAACAACAATAAATACATATTTTTTGCACAATTTTTAGTTTGAAATTGTTCTGCTCACAATTTTTTGCGTCTTTTGCAACACCATCTTCAGAAACGAACTGAGCGGTGCCATTTCTAATGTGTGTTCACAATTGTATTGAGCGGATTAGTTTGCTGGTGACTTTATTGAGAATTTGTTGGCATTTGGTGTTTATTGAGTAAATTTGTGTTTAATAAACTTTATTTGAATAAAACTGCTAGGCACTAACAAGTATCAGTTGCTAAAAGAAATCAAATTAACCACATATTTTACTTAGCATAGTTTATCTTTTCGGCGCTTTTCAGCAGAAAAAACGCTAAAACGGCACAACTGATTCACAGCTGACATATGTATCGAACTAGTTACATGCTGAATTGAGTTCAACTCCAACGGTGAGTCAGTCTGTCCATTTTGGACTAGCCACAATACAGCAACAACAATAAACAACGTCAACGATGAAAGGTGGAACATTTCGCAGCACACAATGGGATCCAACGCTGCTCACATCACAAATTTTGTCCATGCAATTCTGCGTGTATTTCTCCCTCGGCCTGCTCGTCTTCGTGGCCAACAAGTTGGCTGGCGACAATTACACGCTGGATCATCTGTTTGAGTATCATGTGAGTGCCTCAAACTGCAATAATTAATATGTGCAATATTTAATATTTTAATGAACATACAGGAAATACATATATACGATTTGGGCGGTCGTCTCGTCATTTGCGCATTTGTCGTAAACGCTCTTATTGCCTCGCTGGCGCTCTGGTGCATTGTGCGTCGGGCCAAGCTCTGCCTGGATTTCAGGTAATCCAATTCTTTATACTTACATGTATGTGGAACGACTGGAGATCGTTTGGATCCTGGATAGTGCGGTTATATTCAAACTCCATACTTGGAATTCACATCTGTTTTATTTGCAGCTGCACTTTCCATTTGCTGCATCTGCTTGTCTGCTGGTGGTACAATCGCTCATTTCCCGCTAACGCTTCCTGGTGGCTGCTCAACGTCATCACCGCGACCATAATGTGCATAGGTGGTGAATTTCTCTGCCTGCAAACAGAGATGCGCGAAATTCCAGTCGGCTATGCAGCGCTCAATCAAAAGTCGGACGTTTGACGAGTACCCCAAATGTGATGCTTACAACAGAAAAGAAAGCCACCAATTACGCTAAACTTACTACTTGTAATTTATTGTTAACACTTTAAGAATATGTATAGAATAATATACGAGCTCTCAGCTAGGGAAATAACTCATAGATAAATGGCGCGCCGCGCTTCAATTTCAGCTCCTTTGGCACCGTTTGCGGCGGCATAAAAAACTTCAATTCCGCTGTCGACGTCTTTGCGGCAGCGCTGCCGCTGTCATTGCTGTCGAAGAGTTGCCAGATGTGCATTTGATGCGGCATCAAAAACCAAAAACTCGTCATTATCACAAACGAGGCGATCAGCGAGGTGAACAACAACAGCGTCCAGCACTGTTTGCATTGCGGCTTCTCCATTGCTCAACTGGTCTGCTGTCAGCAACTAAATATTCGACTCGAAAAAAACACACCTTGTTTGCAACAAATGCGCAGCAGCCTTACAATTAAAGCATGCCTAATCTAATCAAATTAGTGGCTTTCTCTATATGCCCACAGTCAGTCTGCTCAGCCAGCCGATCTGCTTTGACGCGAGCTTTTTTGGCTTTGGCTAAATTTATGTTAATTGAAGAGCGGAGGCCGAGCACTTTTTTCATTTCCATGTTTCGCACGCTGCTTAGAAAGCTGCTTAAATCCAGTTTAACCGTTATTACTTAGTCGTTAAATTGGATGTGCTTTGCTTGCAGGAAAATTCTTGAAATGTAATATTTTCTTCTATAATTTTTTTTATATATTAACAAAAATATCAGATATGTTTCTGGTAGACTACAAATTTTTATCTTCAACAAATGCTTCTTGAATTAAGAATACATTTTTTAGAAGTTTCCTTGTTTTTTCTACATTTTATTGTAACTTTGAAAAGCCTTTAAGCCCAGATCTGCTTGTTGTGGAATGAAAATTGATTATGTATTATTTTCAAAGCAAAAAAAATGCTTCTCAAGCCTGAAATTCTGTTTTTAATTTTTTTTCTTTCTATATTTTAGTATAAAAATGTCTCCGCCGAAGTCAAACTATCAAAAAAAAAAAAAGTACAATTGATTGCTGTAATAAAGAACCATTGCAAAATACAAATTCATTGAAATAAAATTCTCCAGTTTCCATTTGCTAAATTGTTCAATTTATTTTTAGCAAATTTGTTTTTTTTTGTTTTGTTTTTGGTTTTAAATGATTTTCTTGTATTGTGTTTGTGTGTGTGTGTTTTTATTTGCGTTGTGTGTGTATGTGTGTGTGTGTAGTTTATGTATATATGTATGTATATATAACTTTACTAGTTATTCTTTTTTTCTTTAAAATCATCAATTGAAGTTTATGCTTTATATCTCAATTGTTAATCGCTTTAAGTTTTGTTTTTCTTGTTTTCTTGTTTATATATATCGATTTCAATATTTGAAAGAGAAAATATGCGAGAGGGGGAGTGAGTGGGCGGGGCGGGGGCTCGGGGGCAGTAAAAGTAGATTTTTACTTTTAATGGACACAAATTCATAAGTTGCCCTTATATAAATCCTTAATTATCTCATTTGCTTTGCTCTAGCATATATATATATATAGATGTATATATATATATATATATATATATATTTATATTATTATTAATATGAGCCTATTTATTAGTTATTTCGCTTGTGTGTTGTTTGTTTGTGTGTTCTTTTTGTTTTATAAACTACAATTTGATGTTGTAATCTTGTTGCTATTCCATCAGCATATCTATGCATATTTCTTGATTCCTTTTTCTTTTCTGTATATTTGTCAGTTATTATTTTTAAACAATTTTTATTTTATTTTCTTTATATATATATATATATCTGTAATGCTTGCTATTGTAAATGTGTGTGTGTGTGGGTGCATGTGTGTTGGTATGTGTGTTTGTTTGTTTTTGAGTGTTGCGCTGCGCACAGACAGTTTCTCTTTCACACTCTCTGCCCCCATACATATATATATATATACATGTATATATATGTGTATATGCATATATATATATACATACACATAGATCATATATATGATACATATAATATGCAAATATAATAAAGTTGTTAATCAATCGATCGATCGCGTTTCGCTCATCCTCCACAACCAGCAGCTTTTCTTTCTTCTCTGTTGCTTTTTACGGTTTTTAATTAATGACAAAAGTCGGACTTATTTTTTGATGTTGTTTCTGCTGTTGTTGTTGTTGTTGCTGCTGCTGCTGCTGTTGACGAGCGTTTGTTTGGCGGCTTCTGGCCAATCTTTCTCATTGACCCCACCAGTCCGGTCCGTTGGAGTGGGAGCCACCGCCGCCGCCGCCATAGGATCCACCATACGAGCCGCCGCCATAGGAGCCTCCACCCGAGCTGCTGCCACCTGTTTAGGAAGTTGCAATTAGGGGGAGAGGAGAGGGAGGATTTTAGGGTATAAATTTCAATACAGTTTAAGAGATGGCTTAAAATAAGTGTGTGGAGAGAAGGAGGAGTTCACTCACCAAACTTACCATACGAATTGCCATTGCTGCGATAGTTGCCACCACCGCCGCCCGAGCTGCTGCCACGATTGCCGCCGCCGCCTCCACCGCTGCCCATGCTGCGTCCACCGCCACCGCCGCCGCCGGAACTGGTACGATAATCGCGTGAGCCAAAGCCACCGCCGTAGCGTGCGCCAGCGCCGCCGCCGCCACGTCGCTTGGCGCCGCCATGTCCACGATCGGAGCTGAGCATCTCCTCGAGGAAGCCGGGTATCTCCTGCTTCGTCTCGATGAGCAGCTCGAGCAGATCGGAGCAAATGTTGCGATTCTTATCATTGAAAAAGGAGGTGGCCACACCCAGGTTACCCATGCGACCGGTACGTCCGATGCGATGGACATACTCCTCGACATCGGTGGGCAGATCAAAGTTAATCACATGCGTCACATGCGGAATGTCGAGGCCACGTGCCGCCACAGCGGTGGCAACCAAAATGGGGCAATCACCGGAACGGAAACAACGCAACGCCTCCTCTCTTTCCTTTTGGGTGCGATCACCGTGAATGCTCGTCACCGGATGATTGCACTGATACAGGAACTCCTCGAGCGAATCGGCACCCTTTTTTGTCTCCACAAAAATTAATGTTAAATTATCCTTGGAGTATTCGGGTCCATCGCGTATCGATGACAGCAAATCGAGCAAATACGAACGTTTATCCTGATCATAGACCCAAAGCAACGTTTGCGTTATGTTCTCCGATGTGGAACCGACACGGCCAACAGCCAAGAATATATAATTGCTGAGAAAATCACTGGCCAACTCCTGGATCTGTTTGGGGAATGTGGCCGAGAACATCAATGTCTGTCGCTGACCCGTCGGCGGCATATTCAGCTGCTCGACAATGCGACGAATTTGCGGCTCGAAACCCATGTCCAACATGCGATCAGCCTCATCGAGGACCAAGAAACGTATATTCTCCAGTCCGACTTTGCCACGGGTTATCATATCCTCCAAGCGACCCGGTGTTGCGACAATCAAATGACAACCACGATCCAATTCACGCATCTGTTCGCTGGTATTGTTACCGCCATAGAGGACAGCGGGACGCATACGGGAGCGATAGGCGAACTTTTTGGCCTCCTCGAATATTTGGGTGGCAAGTTCGCGGGTCGGCGCCAGCACCAGACCGAGCGGAAACTGTTTGCGACGACTGTATTGGCGATTGTTTTGCGGCGGTGCCGACAGGCCATGCTCATACATCTGATTGAGGATGGGCACCAGAAACGCTGCCGTTTTACCAGACCCAGTCTGGGCGCAGGCCATCAGATCGCGTCCGCTGATTATGATGGGTATTGCGTATTTTTGCACCGGCGTCGGTTTGTCATAACGCGCCAGATTCACATTGTTACGTATGATCTCCGTCAGCTGCACATCATCGAAGGATGTGATATGCGGGGGCACATTTTGGCCCGTCGCCTCCACGGGTATATCCTCGTATTTGTCAAAATTGATGCCCGTATTGCCCACGCCGAATAGCTCCGTCTCCAGACGCTCGTCGCGTGCCAGCAATTTTGTGTAATCGGTGTTGCCGCCACCGCTGCCGCCTCCACCCTCCTTCCAGCGATTATTGTAGCCACCGCTGCCGCCGCGATTGCTGTAGCTTCTGTTGCCACCGCCACCGGGTGCGCCGCCGGGTCCACCTTCAGTTGATGAGCCGCCCTCGTAGCCGAGCGGACGCTCCGGCTCCTGCCAGCGATCATTGCGTGGCTGCTGTGCATCCTCCGGCTGATCGTTGAGGCCGTTGCCTCCACCACCGCCGCGATACGATGGCCCGCGTCGATCGCCAAAGTTACGTCCACCGCCGCGATTCCAGTCGCCGCCACGGCCTCCGAATTCACCTGCAGCAAAACAAAAATACAATACAAATAAATAAATAAATATAAACCAATCAGCTTTCATAGACTGCGAGATAATCTATGGTTCTAATCTCTCTCTCACTTTCTAAAATACAATCTTGCGTAGCAATATTGCTGCCAAAGGTTAAAGCATTAATGGAAAATCGATTTCGATCGGAATCTCAAGATTACAAATTACTTGGAATTGGGTAAATGCCCAATTGAGGAACTGGTTTCCATCTTTAGTCTTTAATATTTATTATTACCAAGCCATTTGCAAAAATGTTTCATTGATTTTCGCTTATTTTATATATAAATTATATATTCAAAAGGAGTTTTTGACTGAATCTGCCGATGTATATATAGTTATATACATGTAGTAAGCAGAATATTCATATCATTAAGTAAATAATACAATTCAATATTCACAATACACACACGGTTGCATTTCGCGCTTCATGTAATCGGTAACAACTGTAAACTGAACTAATGAAATACCCTACAAGAAACATATTTAATGGTTGACGATGTCAGAGATATCAATTAATTTCTCACACATAATTTAACATCTATAAAATCCAATGCATTTTTCTAATCTGAAAAGGGTTTCATCTCTACAAAGTATGTTGTTCAGTTAGTGGCTTTAACATACAAAGACAAGTACGGAGGAGTGTTGCTGCTATTTTCACACAGTAAAAGTATCCAATTAATCGCACCTATAGGGAAATCAGGTCTCTATTTTAGTAGAGAACAAGGCAAGTGAAGAGTGAGAGAGTAGCAATGCATGGTGTAAATATATACAAGGTGAAAGGCGATATGCCGATCGAGATAACAACACTTGACACAGTAGTTAAGCAGCTGAGAGTATTTGAGTTTGACAGCTGCTTGTGTTTATGTATTTTACTTTCATAGATGCAATTAAAGATTGTAAAATGTGTTTAATTACATTAAATATTTAATAAAGATACGATGTTTACTGCACCAATGATTTCAATTTCAATCTCCGCCAAGTGCTGTCAGACAGAGAGGTAAATCTTAACAGCTGTTATTACCTATAACAGCCATTATCAATAGCAGCAGCTGTTATTAACAACTGTTAAGACTGTTACCGCTCACCCCCTTGTATAGTTAAAGACAATCAAATCTACGAATTGCAGCTGAGCGAGATTTTCTATGCAGTCAGTTCCCAGGAGGAAACTAGTGAATAACCCCTAATTACCGGATGCATTCTGCATGCATGCACTGTAATTCATTCATTACCTAGTAATACTCTTGTATGGTAGAAGTGCATATTTAGCTGGACAGTGAAATAGTTGCGACTTGCATTAAAATTAAGAAAACTAGTTTCTCTATTAATTTGGTTTGCAAAAGATTTAAAGATTTTCATTATAGTAAAGGCCCAACTGAGCTATCAAATCATATTAAATCAAGAGAAGCTCTAAGATAAAGAAAAATATTATAGGCTAAAAGTTATCCTTGAGTCATCAATATTGAATGCTCGACGGCGATAAGTGACTGCAAATTTAGCTAGTAGAATATCCTTTGCTCAGAACAAACAATTTTAAGATGGGCAATGCATACAGAGTAGTGCAGTTTGTAATGGGTTCTTTTGGTTGCTGGGTGCTTTAGTTGTTTAGGGGTTGTTGTAAACTTACCACCGTTGTAGTTGTCCTCGTAGCGATTGCTGCCACCACGTCTACCTCCGCCGCCGCCACCGCCGCTGCCAAAACTTCCGTAGTCGCCGCTCTGGCGATTGTAGCCGCGACTGCCGCCGCGATCGCCTCTGCGATAATCGGGGTTGCGCTGCTGCTGCTGCGATTGCTGCTGCTGGTCCCTGGTGCTGTCGAGACGCGGTGCGGCACCTGCTGAATCAAAGCCCTGGCCCTGATTGTCTAAGTCCGCGTTGTTGTTGCCACCAACACCTCGAAGATGCGGGGGCACATAAACGCCACCGGTGACCGAATTATTGGGAGTCTTGCTTGTTATGGGGCCGCTATAGTTAGCCGAGCCGCCATTCAAGTCCAGACCAGCAACCTGCAAAACAATTATTCATTTATTATCAACAATAAAAATGTATAAACAAAATAAATTTATATTAAGAAAATAAACACGTCGAATGCGTTGCGTGAGTTTCGTGTCACGTTGAAATTAGACACATGCACACACACACACATAGAAGCGCGTCTCAAGTTCAACGAATTCTAAGCCAAAATGAGAACTCTGTAATAACAAGTTTTTTTCACTGGAATATATACACACAAACACACACGCAGTCAAACACACACATAAATCACACTCTTCTCCCGGTTTCTCATCATTCCCGGTTAGCAACATCTTTTTTTTTTGTAGAGCTACGTGTATAGGGCACACACACACACACATGCACATTCATAAATATAGACACACATAAACACTTGCAAAAATAAGCGCAACTAGTTTGAGAGGCTTTGACGCAGCAACAACAGCAACAATCACAATGCTACAGCCACCCACACACAGCCATTGTGTATTCACGCTTAGTAGTGCAAAGTTTTGTTGGTGGTACCTTCTCAAATGTGGATCTTGTTTTCTCCATAGAAATAATGTGCACAGGGTGTCACACATTGTGAGCGTTTGATGGCTATACAGTGTTAACAAATGCACAGATTACATGCATGGCCATCTGGCAACCCTGTTTACAATACTCAGCTTCCACATGTGCGTGAAAGAGCGTGAGCAAATGCAAAAAGAGAACGCCGCAAACGACTCTCACACACACGCACACATGCATGCACTGGTTTAGAATTGCGGCTCTCGCACACATACACGTGCAGTGAACATGTCAAATTGGAGGCAAGCTAAAAATTATACAAAAGAAATTACACAAATGAAAAGAACTCGGACACACACACACATAGACGCACATATACACCGTTCGTATATGTACACGACGAGTCACCGTTCGCTGCAAAATGTAAAAGCGCAATGCGCTCCACGGTCAGACATTTTGTGTTATGAAATCAATAAATTTTTTTTTGTGGAACCCTCGAGTGAAGAATCGGTGTTCACAATATAACCACATGAGCATCACAGACACTTTCACACACACACACACGCACTCACACACACACACGTGTAGCAACGCTACATGTACATTACTGTTTTTTTCTTCTTTTTATCCATTATGTACCCTTCTATTGTAGCACTTGAACATTCACAACGACATCCACATTCACATCCACGGATGTATCCGCCATACTTACTTGCTGCTCTAGACCTGTGCCATTTTGGTTAATAGCATTACTCATATTATCCTCCAATCACTTGCTGGTTTTTTCTTTCTTTCCGTTTAGGAAAATTTTTGCAATTATTCTCAGATTTTGCGCACACTTGCAATTTTCGACGAAAAAAAAAGGTAATAATATAATCGATGTAAATGTTGTTTTTCTTTCTTTTGTGTGTATTTTTTTTGTGTTGTTGCACTTCGTGTCTATACGTTTTTCTTTAGTTTTTCTTCTTTTTTTTCGAACTTCTTACGTTCCACAAGCTACTACGTTCTTATGTGGTGAGAGAGGTTGTACTTTTTTCACACTCGATTCTTTCGATCAATAGGGATTATTATATTGTTCGTATTTGCTGCAAGGCCTACTTGTGCCTGTTTACAATCACAAGCTGTAATTGTTCTTATGCTTAAAATGTATGGGTTTTTTTGTTTTTTTATACGCTTTCGCGTTTTTCTATGCTTTCAGACGCGTGTCTTATCCACACCAACGGCGAAAACGAGCCACACGGGAAAATGGTGGAGAGCTGGTGATGGGAGCGTGTGAGTCAGCGCAATTGTTATCGGTATCAACAGTAAACCAGAGTTGCTTTGGCAGAGCTGCTTTTTTTTGCTAGAGCGTGGCCAGACTAATAGATAGCTTGATACATCGATAGTCTTCTCACGAATTTCGATATTCGATATCCGATATGCTTTAAGGGCGCTGATTACTCTTCCTTCGTCGAATATAATTTTGAACAAATTTTAGCGCTAATTGGAGATCTTCGCAATGTGGGCCCGATGTTCTTGGTACTTAGAGAATTTCTTGCCTTGCTGTTAATTTTGAATAAAATTTGCCAAAACTTGTTGTGTTGTGCGTGTCTGTGTGTTATATTTGTTTGGGCCTTAAAGTTTGATGCTAAATTCAAAGAAAATTCGAAAGCAGCAATTTCTTGCAATTTTCAATTTGAATAAAAGATAGAAAAGTACGGCAAAATTCAATTTACAACTTTTATTTACGCGCACACCCAAATTAACCATACAATTGGTATACATGTAAATATATACTTTTAAATATAGATATATGTTTTTTGTTGTTCAAATTCTCAATATATGTTTATATAGAATAAATGCTTTTGGTATTGGCTTTTAGCTTTAGCTAGAATATTATAATTAGGAGTATATTTCGGAATGTTACAATAGCTGCTTGTAAATACATTTACTATATATATATATATATATATATATAGATATATTGGGGGTGTAGCGAAAGATTCAACTTTGAAGTTTGAATTATCTGATTAACAATCGAGTTGCTTTCGAGATTAGCCCTTGAGCAGGCAACGAGTGTAGAATTCCCGATCGATGGCATCGCTTGGGATGTATGAGCTCCATTTGAAGATCAGCGCCAGCGTCTCCGTGGCACTCAGATGATCCAGGGCAATGTTGAGGAAACAGTTCCACGTGTAGAAGAAGTGACGGGAGAGCTGTTCCCGCTCCACGCTCGTCACCCGCTCGCAGTTGACGCAGATGAGGCGACCCCGCTGCACATCGACGAACTGCTCAAAGCAGCGTGCCCAGGCAGCGCCATTCAGTTGCCGGCCCACATCCTGGAACAGTTCGACGGCGCCATAATTCAACACAATCGGTAGCACCTTGGCCAAATTGTGCTCGGCCAGGTAGAATTTGGCGAGGATGTCGAGCAAAGCGGGCACAGCTTGCAGCACATCGAAACACTTCAGCTGCTCGCCGCGTGACCAGTAGTAACGCAGGAGAACTGCACCCAATCCGTGGTAGGCACACGCATTGTCGAAGCGCAGCGGGAAGGAGCAGTGGGTGCAGCGCGTGATCTCCACGCCGGCATTGAGCCGTGCGAATCCGCTCGCAATGTAATCCCTTGTCGCATCATCCATCTCCCAGATGAGCTCCGGATTCAGATAGTTGAAGTACATCTCGTAGCAATTGCGTTGCGCCTGCTCCGCACTATCTCCATGCTCGATCATAATCCCCGCCAGCTTCTCGAGCAGCTGGATCAGCTCACTCGCCGCATACTCGTCGAAGACGCCACGATAACGTTCCACACAATGGGTGCGACTGAATTTGGCGCTCTTGTGGATCAAGTACAGATTGTAGATGGTCTTCTCCTCGGGACTGATGACAATGCAGCTGGGCGTGGATGTGGCACGTTTGCCGCCGGCAGCAGCAGCAGCCAAGGAGCGACTGCTGCGACAAACAATTGCGTCATCATCATCATCATCCTGTGACTCGTAGCGCGCCTTAATATCCTTAAAGGGCAGCGAACGTTCGCTGGGCGGGATTAGTTCACGGACCAGTTGCTGCTGCTGCTCCTCGGCAAAGATGTTGAACTTGTACTTGATGATGTTCTTGCCAAATTTACCAGTCACCGTGAGCAGGGCATCCTTGAAGTGACCAGACGTTTTGGGCGCCTGCTTCAACAGATTATCGCAAAATGCATTCTCCAGCACATAAACCCCTCGAGGAGGATTATCAGCCTGATTAGAAGGTGGAGGAGGTGGCGGGGGAGGCGGCGTCGCTGTTGTTGTCACACTGCGCTCTGTGGTCGCCGAACTGCCGCCAGAGCTGTGCGTATCCAGTGCGCTGCCCGTGCACTGAGCAATGGCATCAAAGATCACGGATATATCATTCAAGAGCTCATATTGCTGGCGCTCGATGAGCCACTGCTTGAGCAGATTGAGCTGCTTCAGTTCGTAATTTTCGCGTGCCTTGTCCGCAAAGTATTTGACATGTTGGCGCAGCAGGCGGGCGCACTGCGTCAGCTTCGATTGCTCGATGAGGGAGATGGCGTGCGATTGCAGCGTCTGCAACTGGACGCCGTAAAGCGATCCGGTCTGGGTGAAGACAAAGATCTCATTGCCGGCAACGCGACAATCGACAATCCGCTCGAATTGATTGCACCACAGCACAACGGTGGACAGACGCACATCGAAGATGTACAGGCCCAGTTCGGTGTAGGCCAGCATAAAGTCAGTGCCGAGTCGCTGTAACTTGGCGAACTGCAGCTGCTGCGGCTGATGATCGAGCAGTTCATCGTTGGACTCGAGTGCATCGTCACCATCGGCGTTGTTAGCATTATTAAGCTCATCGTGGTCGCTGGCCTTCAATATCTTGACGGGTGCCGTGGCCAAAGCGGCCTTGAACTGATGCGTCTGCACCACCTCCCCCTCGAAGTCCACCTCCCAGATGCGGGTACCAGGACGGGCGCAATATATCCGAGAAGGCTGCAGCGACTCATGCGGCGAAATGAAGAAACAGGCACCAAAAGCGCCATCTCGTGGACGGTTGCCGATCTGCAAGCGAAAAGGAAAAACCACTAAATTTAATAAATTCCTATTTAATTATCTTATTGCATAAATTATTAAATTAATTCATTCAGACTAACAGCGGGGAGAAAATTGCTAATCTTGGATTTCATATTAATAAATATAGAAATCTAATAATGTTGGTTTTTGTATTATTAATAATCCATTTCAATAATTATTTCTTCAATAGCAACAGTTATCTTACAAATGTAGTCGGAACTAATTATTTATTAATATTTGTTTAGCTTACATTTTTTAAATATTATTTTTACTTTTTTAGTAAGATTTTGATAAGATAACTCACCTGCTTATACTCTTCGTACTCCGTGTTGCACAGGATGCATTTAGTGTTATTGGAAACGAGGAGCAGTGATTCAAAATCATCGATTTGGACAATGGGCGCATCCAGATAGAGGAGCGGATGCACAGACATATTGAAGAGCAGACTGTGACCAATGAACGTGGAGATGATCACTAGATTGACCTGGCCACGTGTGTCGCCATAGTAGAATTGCTTCTCATCCGGTGTCCAATGGATGCAGCTCACCTGCACCGACTGATCGGTGCTCAGATGAGTGACAATCACCTGGGGCGCTGCCTGTGCTGAGAGATTGACGGCATACACACAGATGAGAGAGCGTTGGGTGGCAAAGGCCACGTATTTGTTGTTGGCCGAGATGCTCAAGTGTGTGACGGGTCCATGCTTATTGGGGATCAGATGCATGAATTTGCCACCTCGGTTGAAGAAGTACAGGGAGCCCGAGGTGGCACCGAAGATGATGTAGTTATCGGATATATCGAAGCATGTGTACTAAAGCAAATGGTTATCATATATCCGCTTATCATCATTTGGCAAATAATTCTCTTGTTTTGTTACCTTGATCCGGTTGCTGTGCCTCAGTGGCTGCGACAGATGCTGCGAAAAATCAATAAAATTCGACAGACAGTATGCGTCAGTCATTTTGCTGTTCGTTTTGTGTTGGCCGGCGTTACAATGTTTACATTTCGCGCAACACTTAATTGCAAACTTTTTACGATTTAGCTTTTTCTGATTTATTCGTTTATTAATAATGCATTTTTACTGTTAACAAGCAAGCAAACAAAAAAAAAACAAGATGCAACTTTTACAGATGTTAACGCAGCGCTGCCAGTCTAATTGCACCTTGGATTCTGGCATCACTTACAACTTGTTTACATTTAGCGACAAATGTGTGGCAACCTTACACTGCACAGATGTTGCACTCGTTTTGTATTATAAATGACTTAAATAAATTGAAAACAAGCTAATAAATGTAATATTTAGTAATTTTTATTTTTTTGCAAAATACTATATGTATTATATTGTTGAATTACTAGCCGGTCACAAACAGCTGTTCGACTTCACCGCACCCCCATGCTCAGACCAGCGAGCTGTCAAATAAACGTCAAAACAGTTTGTGGTCGTCGCGATATGAAAAAAGTGCAAGCGCAAAGCAATGAAGAGTAAAACAAATACAAACACAAGACACTAAAATCCAAGTGATAAATAATTAGCAAAGCATAATTTGCATATGTAAAATCCAGCAAGATGGCTGAAAAGGAGCCAAAAACACCAGCACCATCGCCAACGGAAGAGGGAATCGCTTTGGCTGCTTCTGCTGCGGATCGTGTCGCCGACGATGGCGCAGCAGCAGATCCTAACGCCAGCAGCACCAACAACAACGACAACACAAGCAGCAGCAGTGGCAGCAGCAGCAGCACAAATGTAAAGGTTTTGATAATTGGCGCAGGAATGGCTGGTCTGTCCGCTGCCAATCATCTGTTGCAAAACGGTTGCGATGATTTTCTCATTGTGGAGGCTAGGGGACGTGTGGGTGGGCGTATTGTTTCCATACCGCTTACCAGCAATCAAAAGGTAAACCTATTATGTAAGCACCCTCATAGGACACAGGGAGGGTGTTGTCTTTGCGGGGGGCTGGGTAGGGCAAGCCATATTTTTATATTTTTGTCCACTCATTTTTTGTTGTTGTTTTGCCCCACAATATACAATTATAGATTTTTCCACGCGTTGACTTTAAAACTAACACATTTTTATATGAGCAGTAAAAATTAAATAACTGTAAAAATAAATATTGCTCAGCATGATATCTCGCCCATAAACATTGTTTTCGTTTTAATTAGTATTTACAAAAATATCACAAATTGCTGTTATTGCATTTTGTATTTCGTCCTTGGCCTTGTCCTTGCGCATTTTACTTGTTTGCATTTGCAGTGCATTTTGTGTTTGCTTTTCTTGACCGGAAGTGGGAAAATCGCACAGCTGACGAAAATTTCGCTGGCACTATTGTTATACAACTCACGCATTTCTAGATAAGATTATGCATATATATTTTACAGAGGGCGTTGCATCCAGCGACGGGTTAACAATCACGTAGACAGCATATAAACCAATATAGACTTTAAACATTATTTCTTTAGGTTTACTCGAATGCATTTCCCATATTTGTAGAAAAACCTTAAACTTTATAAATAAAATTGTTGTCTATCAGAGGATTTATGGTATATATATATTTATTATCATATAGGTCAGTTCTTATCTGACTTAATAGATAATATAGAAGTTTATCACTTTGTCAGTTGCACATCACAGGGGCCAGTTATCACTAGGAGTATAAATATATTAATTATACTTATGACATACATTACTATTATTTTTTAATAATGTATTAATTAAAATTTGTACACATATGTTAATAATAATACAAAACCAATATTATATATCTGTAAATACATTTTAGAGTTCTGTTAAATGTATTATATATATTTATTATCCAATATTACTTTTTTTTGTGATATTAAATAAATTAAGTAAAATATTAATTGAAACTTGCACATATATTAATATTTGTTTTTAATATTTGTTTGAAAATAATTTATTAATTAGAATTATATTATGAATACTCTGAATTATTTACGCTATTTTATCAATTAAATATCAAAATATAATACAATATAATAATAATACTTATCCAATTAATTATTAACTGTTACAGATATTCTAAGATATAAATTTATAATTATATTTTTATAATTTGTAGGTGGAACTGGGCGCAAATTGGATACACGGCGTACTTGGCAATCCGATATTTGAGATTGCCGTACAGCATGGACTAGTCAGCGTTGTGAACGTACCAAAGCCGCACAAAGTGGTGGCCACCACCGAAGATGGCCATCAGGTTCCTTTCAGCATACTGCAGGAGATCTACCAGGCGTATGTTTGTTTCCTACGCCGCTGTGATGAATATTTCCTCTGCCAGTACAGCCCGCCGCCGGACATCAATAGCGTTGGGGAGCACATCAACTATGAGATCGAGATCTATCTCAGCTCCGTGCAGGATCCAAAAGAGAAGCGCCTGAAACAATTGATATTCAATTGTCTGCTCAAGCGCGAAACCTGCATCACCGGCTGCCACAACATGAACGAGGTCGATTTGCTGGAATTGGGTAAGCAGCGTAAATGATATATTAATGCAGATTGAGATTATTAATTGTTTCACATCATATTGCAGGCAGCTACACTGAATTGCAGGGCGGTAATATTGTGCTGCCCTCCGGATACAGTTCGATATTGCGACCGCTTAGCGCACAGATACCCAAAGAGTCGATTGTGACCAAGTGCCCGGTGCGCAAGATACACTGGAAGCGAAAAAAGACATTCACCGGTCTGGAGACCGTTGACGAGGAGCACTCCGAGGACGAGGACGGGAATGATTCCGATGATTCGCAAAAGACAGTGACAGAAGTGCCGACAGCGTTGCGCGGCGCCTCCATCGAATCAAATGCGAGCAACAATTGTGATTATGATGCGTCCGAGGCGGGTACTGTTCGCGTCGACTGCGAGAATGGCCGAGTGTTCCATGCAGCGCATGTGATATGCACTATACCACTGGGCGTGCTGAAGCATACGCATAAGACTCTCTTCGATCCGGAGTTGCCGCACTACAAACAGGAATCCATTGAGAATCTCATGTTCGGCACCGTTGACAAAATATTTCTGGTCTATGAGCGTCCCTTCCTCAGCGCAGCCATATCGGAGGTGATGCTGCTCTGGGACGATGAGAAGCATGAGTCCGTTAGCCAGGAGGAGCGCGAAACGGAGGCGTACCTCAGCAAGCACTGGTTCAAGAAGATCTACTCTTTTGCCAAGGTGACGGACACCCTGCTGCTCGGTTGGGTGTCGGGTCGCGAGGCGGAGTATATGGAAACATTGTCCCATGAAATTGTCGCCGATAAATGCACCGAAATACTGCGAGATTTTCTACAGGATCCGTATGTACCCAAACCCAAGTTGTGTGTGTGGTAAGTGAATAGAATCTCTCTAAATACCTTAAGCTTATTAATTGATTGTTGATCATAGCACTAGCTGGAAGACACAGACGTACACGGGCGGTGCATACACCTCAATACCCGTGGGTGCAACACAGGAGGATATTGAGAATTTGGCGCAGCCGCTTTATGCCACGCCGCATGCCACAAAGGTGAGTTTTTGAGCTGAATACTCGTCTTATAAATGTTGCCAATTGATTTTCTCTCTCTTTGCAGCCGGCTATTGTGTTTGCTGGCGAGCATACTCATTCCAGTTTTTACTCAACCGTACACGGCGCCTATTTGAGCGGACGGACGGCGGCACAGTACTTGCTGGCCAGCGATGAACCCGACGAGATTATCATGGAGTCCGACGGCAGCGATTTAAGCGCCTGGATGCAGGGCATCGCCCTCGACTGAGCCGCCTCAACTCGACGACAACACGATTCATTCAATTTTGTTTTGTATTATAATTTATGTATGTCCAAACATTTTGTTGCTTTAAGGCACTTTTATTTATCGCTTCTGTCGCATAGAGGCTGCTTTTTAGCTAGTGATATAACGATTTGTATATTATGTTTTCATTGTGCATTTGTTTCTAATTGTTGATTTTGTTTTTTTCGATCAAATATCATTATTATTTTGTAATCCTTGAACAATTCATGCAACCTTATATTTATATATATACACATGGATCATTTGTTTGATAGATCCAAATGTATTTGAATACAAATATAAAAAGAAAAAACAAAAGAAAAAGAAAATTACTCTCCGTGCACGCTAAGCAGCTTTCACTGTAATGTTGTTAATCGTGAGAAAATGTGCACAAAATGGTAATTGTAATGAGAATCGATTAGACCATAATATATATATATATATACGCCTATTTTTATAAATTCATATTAAATGTAGTCGAAACTTGATTTAAGTTAGCTGCAATACATTATTAAATTCAAAAAATTCTCAAGCAAAGATCGGCGACAGAACAATTTCAAATGGAACAAATTGTAAATTTAATAAACTATGTAACTATGTATTGTTAATGTTAACTATTTTGCTAACTAAATTATGCATTAGTTAATTCTCTAAGGCAACCGATGATACTAAAATTATGTGTATCCAATATAGATCTACATATTTATTTGTATTTATTAACAGTTATTTCAACTTGTGCGCATACAGAGAAATAAATGAACACGCTAAATTGCAATAATGATTACATCTCATTTCTATTCAGCAACTTTCACAAATCAAAGGCATTCCTTTTTTAAATTCATTTCACTTTCTTTTACGTTTGCATATCAAAGTAGCCATTTATATTTTTCAAAATAATTTTATAATTTCAGATAAATATCTTCAGTCTACAAATTATCAGTTATAACAAAATAAAATTCCTTTAGTTTATCAATATCAATATCAATTCTTTTGCAACCGCAGTATTCGTATTCAACGTGGAAAAAGGTAATATTTCAATTGGGAACTCAATAGAGTAAATGATAAAAGATGAGTGAATCCTTCGAGCCGGAGTCGAACCAGCGACCTGTGGATGTCTATTTTTTTCGCAATTGTGCCCCAAAACTACAGTCCATCGCTCTACCAACTGAGCTATCGAAGGCGCAAATTCCGCGCCACACAAATGCAAATTTGAATATTGCACTTAAGAAAAGAGCAACGCGAATGAGGCAATTTTTCGGTGTATCTTAAAAATAATGCACATATTATCAAAAGGCAAATGTGCTAATATTAATTAGACTAAACAACCAGGTTTACTTTTTGTTTTGTGCTTTTGCATTTACCATTAGCAACAATATCCTTATTATGTGTAGCAAATATTTTTAAATGAGAAAAACACCTCATTCGGTCGCGCGGACTTAAAAAAGCACTTCTAATTTGATACCATCTATATCCATCTCACTCTAGCGCAAACCATATCAAGCCGCTTAGCCGCCTGCTTCAAATTCAAAGCTCATTTACTGTGATTGCGACTGCGACGGCAACGTCGCCAACAGGCAGACAGAATTGCTTCCATACGAAGTAGAAGCAACAACGCCGGCAGTTTACTTCCAATCGCCGGTTGTAGAGGTTCGTTGTTGTCAAAGCTACCAATACGTCACTATTCTTGTCTGCCATTTGCAAAAATAGAGCTGTCACCCTTTGGTTAACAACAACAACAAACAACAACTGCAACAGCAACTACAACTTCTTGAATTCAGCATCAACGCGTATTGTTGTCAGAATGTCGTACCACAAGCCCGAAGCTAAAACCGTGCAGGATTTGAAGGATGTGGCTCACAAGCTGCGTATTCATTCCATTAACAGCACGCAGGCCTCCAAATCTGGGTAAGCAGCGACCACGACCACAATCACTTTACCAACCCACCAACAAACAATCAGTGCTGGAAAAGTTGTGCACCTTGCACTTGTTGCGTGATCGAGCCGGCAAAGGTGACCTCAGGCTTAAGGCCGCCAAGCCGCACTTCGCCCAATGCAACGCCGTTCTAAAAATCCAAAACAAAAACCACGTTTTACTGTACATTTTGCAGTGTGCATACTACGAGCATATTCACACGTGCATTTGCCATTATTATATTGCTGATAAGCTGCGTTAATTTATTTGCTTGGGAATTTTTTTTCAAAATTTGAACATAACCTTCGCTGACCTTCATCAGAAACCTAGAGTTCAAATAGTGTAACTTTTACCAATTAGTAGTCGGCTTTGAGCATATCCAGTTTTTACACGCACATAAATATATATATATATATGTATATGTCACAGCGGGGCTTCAAAGAAAGTTCAGTGTGCGAAAGCTCTCTTTTCACATGTTTTCGTCAGTTGGCAACGCTTAACCATTGAAAATAGAGAACAACAACAACAGTTAAAGTTAATGGCTGATAATTCGCACTATGCTCTGACGTTTTTATGACCTTTATGATGGCATATGTAATTAGGCAACCAAATGCATGATAAGCTAAGTGCTTGAAGTAAATACTATTTCAATGCATTTCATCGCAATTGTGCTAAATCTTATCGCAACTCTGATTTTTGCTTTGCTGATAGCACTTTTTTTTTAATACATTGTATATATAACTATGTATATATTTGTGTCTTTGGGGGATAAGCAGATAACCTCCAGTTAGTTGAAGCTTAGATGCAAACAGAGGTGACCGCTTTGAAGTATGATTAACCTTGATTAGTTCTCTATAACCAAACAAATATATTTGCGCCATGTGCAGATCCAATTTCCAGACATATTCCACTGCACAGCCAGCATTCTTTCCAGACATGGGAACGATCATGTCTGAAGGGCCTGTGGCAACCGGTTTCCAGTTGAAAACATACACAAAAAAACGTGTGCGATAAGGCCTATTTATATGTACACATACACACACACAGCACTCGTATGTGTATATAAACAAACATTGTCGATAAGACGAGCCTCCATTTTGGGTGTAAAGTTTCAATTCTCCTCAGCATTCGCTTTCCAGAGTTGACAACGACACTTCCCGATCAACACTTTCCAACAGTGTTGGTAACAACTATTTTAGCTTTTTGTTTTTAATTTGAGCTGCAAAAAGAAATTTATAAAAAATATTTTAGTACATGTGAGCAACAATTACATTAGAAATAAATTGACAAAATTTCGTTGTTTTTAGCTAGCAGCAAAAAGCTATTTTACCCTTTTTCTTGTAGTTATAAATTAATAGATATAAGCTGCAATTAAATTATAAATTAAATTAATCCCATTTCGTTCCTTTTGTTTATTTAGCCGCAAACAGCAAATTTGCTGTTATTAATAAGATATAAGCAGCAAATAAGTTATCAATTAATTGTTATAATAAAAAAGCTTCTTTCGCTCACCATAAATTTTCCAGCATTTGATTTGTTGTTGCATTTTTAGAAGTACCCAAAAATAGAAACCTTTTGTATTTATATATTGGACACCCTTTGCCCTCTCTTTGCAGTCATCCGACATCGTGCAGTTCGCTGGCCGAGATCATGTCCGTGCTGTTCTTCCAGCAGATGCGCCTGAACCTGAAGCATCCGCGCGATCCGTCTAGCGATCGCCTCATCCTCTCCAAGGGGCATGCGGCGCCCATTCTGTATGCCGCCTGGGCAGAGGCGGGCCTCTTTCCCGTATCGGAGTTGAACAATCTGCGCAAGATCGACAGCGATCTGGAGGGACATCCGACGCCTCGTCTCAATTTCATTGATGTGGGCACTGGTTCGTTGGGTCAGGGTGTCGCCGTCGGTGCTGGCATGGCGTATGTGGGCAAGAATCTGGACAATGCCTCGTATCGCACCTATGTGATTGTCGGCGATGGCGAATCCGCCGAGGGTTCCGTCTGGGAATCCCTGCACTTTGCCGCCCACTACAAGCTGGACAATCTGTGCGTGATCTTCGATGTGAATCGGCTGGGCCAATCGGAGCCCACCTCCTTGCAGCATCAGATGGACGTGTATCGGGATCGCCTGGAGGCATTCGGTTTCAATGCCCTCGTCGTCGATGGCCATGACATCGATGAGCTGTGCAAGGCTCTCCACTGCGCCGAGAGCACCAAGAACAAACCCACTGCCATCATAGCGAAGACCTACAAGGGCAAGGACTTTCCCGAGATTGAGGATCTGGATAATTGGCATGGCAAGCCGCTGGGCGATAAGGCGGCCGGTGTCATCAAGCATCTGCAGGGTCTCATTGTCAACCAGAACGTGAAGATGTCACCCAAAAAGACGTGCAAAACAGGCCAAGCGCCCGAAGTCGATATCAATAATATCAAGCTGTGTACACCGCCCAGCTACAAACTGGGTGATTCGATTGCAACGCGTCTGGCATACGGCACAGCTCTGGCCAAGATTGGGGCTGACAATGATCGGGTGATTGCCCTCGACGGTGATACGAAGAACTCAACGTATTCGGACAAGTTGCGCAATGCGTATCCGGAGCGTTACATCGAATGCTTCATTGCGGAGCAGAATCTGGTGGGTGTGGCAATTGGGGCCGCCTGTCGTCGACGCACCGTCGCCTTCGTCTCCACCTTTGCCACGTTCTTTACGCGCGCCTATGATCAGATTCGGATGGGTGCCATTTCGCAGACGAATGTGAATTTCGTTGGTTCGCATTGCGGTTGCAGCATCGGCGAAGATGGTCCCTCCCAGATGGGCCTCGAGGATATCGCCCTGTTCCGTACCATACCAGGCAGCACCGTCTTCTATCCCTCGGACGCTGTGAGCACGGAGCGGGCTGTTGAGCTCGCCGCGAACACAAAGGGCGTCTGCTTCATACGCACCTCGCGTCCCAATACGGCTGTCATCTACAACAATGATGAGATCTTCACCATTGGCCGGGGCAAGGTGGTGCGCCAGAAGCCATCCGATGAGGTACTACTCATTGGTGGCGGCATCACTCTGTACGAGTGCCTCGCCGCTGCCGAGCAGCTGGAGAAGGAGTGCATCACGGCACGTGTCATAGATCCTTTCACCGTGAAGCCACTCGATGTGGATCTGATACTGGAGCATGGCAAGCTGTGTGGCGGTCGCATCGTTGTTGTCGAGGATCATTACCAGTGAGTTGCGGAAAACAGTTTTCCCCTCTTTTTCACTCACTTGTCTAATTGTAATCTCTGCTTACAGGCAAGGCGGTCTGGGTGAGGCTGTGCTGAGCGCTCTAGCCGCGCATCGCAACTTCGTGGTCAAGCATCTGTTTGTGCCCACTGTGCCGCGCTCGGGTCCGCCAGCGGTGCTGATTGACATGTTTGGCATCTCGGCTCGCAACATTGTCGAAGCTGCTAATAGCATCATGAAGAAGTGAGCTGCGTCTCTCCATATATATATATATATATATACACACACACATAATGTGCACTCTAAGATTGATATCCATAATTCCCATGTTCAAATACGAATTTTTACTAAATTCACAATAAATTCTTTCTCAATACAAGTCAAATGTTGCCAATTATTGCTCCTCTTTATTTTTTAAACACATCAGAATGCGGGCGCAAATTTATAGAGTGTGACCAGCGCCCGCTGCGTTAGCTTAAGAATTTCTACAGCTACCCATGTGGCAACGCTGTTCAGATGTCAACATTTTGCATGTACAGCAACTAGTTGAAATTAACTGGCGCTAAAACATTGTTGTGTGTTGGATGCATTTTGTGCTTACAAGCGAATTAAATATACATAAATGTCGAGTGAAAGTGAGGAATACTACTCCGACGAGGAGCCTGAAATCATCAGTGGCACATCGTCATCGATAGGTGAATAATGAGCACAATAATGATAAAGAATAAAATCTTAATTAGCAACATGTGTGTTTTTAAGGCAACTCAAATGGCAGCCGCAGCGTTGCCAGTCTCACTGCAAATTCCACCAGTATCAAGAGTGATGCCACCAACTTGACCATTGAGGACTCCGATGCCGATGACGATGACGATGCCGATGGTACCAGTTTGCGTCGACCCCAGTTCCGTAGACGTCGCGGCCGTGCGGCAATTCTTTCCGACAGCGAAGACGAGGAGGAAGAGAATGCGGAGGAGGCGGATGAGGATGATGATGAGGATGAACTGGAGCAGCGTGCACTCTCGCCGCGCACGCGCATGAGCATCACTGGTGTACGTCCGGCTGACATGAGCGATGGTTCCAGCGATCTGGAATTCAGCAATGATGACGAGCAGCAAAGCTCGTCTCTGAAGAAGGAGGTGCCTGAGGAGGAAGCAGCTGTTATTGCTGGTGCTCAATCGCCTCGTTATACCTCACAATTTGCAAGTAGCATTGTGGAGTCCTTGCACTCTACAATTTTCCCCATCGCTGAGCCCGAGGAGCAGCAGCATCAACTGTCCAACGAGTCCAGTAGCAGCGATGTGATCATCTGCAGCAATCGGGAGACGCCCATTGAGATATTAAGCAGCTCCGAGGATGAGACGAGCTACACCAACAACAAGGAGAACAAATCGAATCGCATTTATTCGCCACGCAGCAGCTCTGAAGCGCCGAGCAGGAATCGATCAAGCAGCAAACTCGTTCAGCCCACCATTATGGCGGCCATGAAGAAGTCTTCGCCAGGACGTCGATCCGGTGTTAATGGTCAAAGTGTCTCTCAGGATTTCTATGATAAGGAATCGCTTAAGCTGTCCGAAATGCGATCGCACCTCAATGAAGCGTTAGGCCTTCACGATAAGGTGTCCCACAAGTTGCCCGACAAGGGCGCCCAAATGTTGAAGCGCATCGAAGGCCTCCGTCTGGACATTGACATCAAATCCAAATATATCGCTGGACTCAACGTGCAGAAGGATATTCCACCAGTCAAGCTGCCATCGCAAAAAATAACAGCAAAACAGGAGAGCGACGAGTTTGGCTGGGATCAGCTTTCGGCTGCGGTTAATCAGATTAAGCCAACGCATACCGGCGCCCGTGGCATGGCCACATTCAATGCCATGAGAGCGCTGACCGTGGATTCCCTAAAGGTGCGTTAGCATACAACAACCCTTCACCAATCCTCTCATTCGCCTTGCATGATGAGTTCTGCTAGAACGGATATCTGAGATGTGTGCACCGTTTTCTGTCTGCGCCTGGGCACGAGTTAATGTGCGGGCGCCTGGCACTGGTCACGCTCTGATTATAACCAACACCAATTCTGATGCACTTCCTCTTATTCCTTTTTTGCCTCACCAAATTCGTTGCTTGCTTTAATTGTGTTCTCATTTGCAGGATCTGCATGGTTCGCTGAAGGGTTGTCCGGCGGAGGATGTGCTCGCCGATGATCCGGCTGGATTGAAGGTGCAGCTGATGAATCACCAGAAGCATGCGCTCGTCTGGATGTTCTGGCGCGAGCAACAGCGTCCACGCGGCGGCATCTTGGCCGATGATATGGGGCTGGGCAAGACTCTCACCATGATCTCCCTGGTGCTCGCCTGCAAGAATCGACAGGAGAGCGACGCGGACGCCAAATCCGCCAGCAGCGATGACGAACCGGATACGGACAAGCAGCGAAAAAGTGTGGGCGGATGGAGTTCCAAGGGGCGCAAGGAAAGTTAGTATTTAATACTAATATTATATATTATATAATATATAATGTATATTATATTTATATTTATATTTAAATATATTTCTTTAACAGCCTACAAAGGTGGCACCTTAGTCATTTGCCCCGCCAGCTTACTGCGTCAGTGGGAGGCTGAGGTGGCCTCGAAATTGACACGGCATCGCCTCACTGTCTGTGTCCATCATGGCAACAATCGGGAGACGAAGGCAAAGCATCTGCGCACCTACGACATGGTCGTGACCACTTACAACATTGTCGCCAGGGAGCAGAAAATGATGGGCGCCTTGTTTGGCGTCAAGTGGCATCGCATAATTCTGGATGAGGCGCATGTGGTGCGCAACCACAAGTCGCAGTCATCGATGGCTGTCAGCGAGATGCGTGCCAAATTCCGTTGGGCTCTAACTGGTACTCCCATCCAGAACAAGGAGCTGGATGTGTATGCGCTGCTGAAGTTTCTGCGCTGCACACCCTTCGATGATCTGGCCACGTGGAAGCGCTGGATCGATAATAAAAGCGCTGGCGGGCAGGAGCGTTTGAATTTGCTAATGAAATCGTTAATGTTGAGGCGCACCAAGGCGCAACTGCAGCTGGATGGTAAACTCAGTAGTTTGCCTAACAAAGAGATACGCTTGATCGAGATGAATCTCGACAAGGATGAGATGAATGTGTATTCTAAGGTTATGGCCTTCTCGCAAACCCTATTCGCACAGTTTCTGTTCCAGCGTGCCGAAAAGGATTCGGATGCGCATTTCGTAAACGATGCCTGCAAACCGACACATAATCAAATCAAGGATCCCAACGGTGCCTACTATAAAATGCATGAGAAATTCTCACGCATGGCCGGGCACAACAAGGAGGTGAAGTCCCATGAGATTCTGGTATTGCTGCTTCGTCTCCGGCAAATATGCTGTCACCCGGGACTCATCGATTCGGTATGAGAATGAACATAAGCAAAAATGTTGTCTTAAAAGTCGAATATATATTGTTTTCGATTTAGATGTTAGAGGAGGAAGGGTCTACGAGCATTGGGCATGATGAGAGCGATGGCTATACGCACGAAATTGATCTGCTGGATCAGCTCAATAAGATGACCATCAATGACAGCGCCAGTTCCAGTTCATCACGGCGTTCCAGCAATGGCAACAGTCGCGGCAGCGGGGGGAATGATGATGTGCGTCTGGCCAAAGCCTCAAAGAATGTGCTGAAGCGCAGCAATCCCGTCTTCAATCTGTGTCGTCCCTCAACGAAAATGCTGAAAGTCTTAGAGATCCTGAAGACGAACATTCTGAAATCGGATGATAAAGTCATCATTGTATCGCAGTGGACATCGATGTTGGACATTTTGCGTGATCTTTTGCAGCAAGAAAAGCTGGCAGCGCTTTCACTAAATGGCAGTATTCCTGTCAAGAATCGTCAGAATATTGTCAATGAGTTTAACGATGCGCGCAACTCCAAACGCATTTTGCTTCTTTCTTTAACGGCGGGCGGCGTTGGCCTCAATCTGATTGGTGCCAATCATTTAATCTTACTCGATTTGCATTGGAATCCCCAGTTGGAGGCACAGGCCCAGGATCGCATCTATCGTGTGGGTCAAAAGAAAGATGTATTCATATATAAGATCGTGTGCCTCGAGACCGTTGAGCAGCGCATCAAAGCGCTCCAGGATCGCAAGATGGCGCTGGCCGAGGGTGTACTAACTGGCAAGGTCAGCTCCAAGCTGTCCATCGATGATCTCAAGGGTCTGTTCGGCATGTGAATCCTCATTTCTCCAACAATTCCATATTCCATATAAGAAATAAAATTCAAAGAATAGTTTTTATTTTCTTTATTTTTAGCATAAGTTTTTTATTTTTCTTTATTGAAACTTGATTTTTAAAGCATTTTATTTTCGCTACGATACAAATTTGAAATGTTTTACAATATGATTTCCATTTAAATTGAAGTGCATTTTTTAGGTTATTTTATTTTTTAGCTAGTACTGTTTAACTGTTCCAAGTTTTAGGCAAGTTTTACTTACATACAAAAAATATAAAAATTCAAATTGAAAGAAAAGTAATAATTTAACTACAATTTGAATAGCATTTGGTTTGAATAGCGTTTTTGGTTCTTGTCGATCCTAAGTAAAATATACACACAATGTACACACAAAATACAATGAACTTAAAACTAGAGAGTGAATACTAAGTTTTCTATCGTTAATAATAATAATAATAATTAAAAGAGAACATTATATAATAACTAACTGAATGATTCCGTTGATACGACAGCGCACAGCCCAAGGAAATGTAACATTTTGAAGGAAAGAATATAACTATTATTTGTTCTAAGTAATTAATGCATTGTGCTGCAAGCTGATATAATCTCAGATTGAAATATTATACTATATATATATATATATATGTATATACATATACATTGAAGAAACGTTTTACTAATTATCCAAATGCTGTACAATAGTTTTCAATAAATGGTGCAAGCTTACGACTAGATTTCATATATCATATCCATATATATATATAGTGGTGCAGATCGTTTAAAGATTCTTAGTTTCGGAGCACTTTCAGCAAGAATAGCTTAAATTCTTTACTCAGCTCATTAATTATTAAGCATAGCAATAGTTGTTAATATTTATTAGTTTTAAGAGTAAACAATGTGAGAGCGTTAGCATATTAATTTTATTATTATTATTAATTTCTATCTTGGGAATTGTTGCCGAGTTTCGCTTCCAGATGACCAGAGTCCAATTTCCAGCCAAAAGATTTCGTTTATTTGGTGCTGCTTCTATTTTTGTTTTTAATTTTGTTTTATTTTTCGTCTTTTCAATTATCGCTAAACGCGAGAGTGGAAAAGATATTTATATGTACATATATGGAATTAATTAATAGTTTTTAACTTCTAAAACCTACGTTTGCTAATTAGCAAACAAAAATAAAAATAAAAATAAAAACCCAAAAATTAATTTGATATTGGTAATCTTAAGACTTAAGCACAAATGTGGCATAAAACTGTTTTTAATGATAACGAGCGCTGGCATAATCCCAGCGTGCCCATATGGCTGCACTGTCTCTGGCCATAAAATGCATTAAAATCATTGTAATGCCCAAGTCAGAGACCAACCAAGCAGTCCTTGGACCCGAACCTGGGCCTCTTACCTGGCCAGCCAGGATGAGTTCGCAGTGCGCGCTCGTAAAACCAAATTTTATAGCAACAACGATGACGATGACGACGACGATGACGATGACGACGGCGATGACGACGGCGACGGCGACGACCACCTTTGTCCAAGGCAGCTAAAAATTTGACTTGGTCGTGGAATTGGTTTTTGTGAAGTTCAGTTCCAGCTACCTTGGCTGGCTTTGGGCGCAGCTGAAATTGCCGCTTTCAGGTAGTCTACTTCTCTTCCTTTATCATGCCAAATGTGATTTTTATGGCGCACTTTAAGTTAATGCCAAGCAGCCGCAAAAGAAGCAATAAGAACAACAACGGCAGCAACTTCTTTTGCCATGCCTGATTTTCAATTGTCACAGTTCAACGACTAATTGCAATTGAGCTGAATGTACATTGAAATCCACTTTGTCATACATATATAGACACATGTATTGCGCATATAATATATATGAGTACATAAGAGCATATAAGTGTTAACAACAGCAATCTGAAGGATTGTCCATAGATTGCTCAGTTGTCCGCTGGAAATACTCTTCTCGCCAGGAGTTGGCACAATGCGTCTCTAAAAATGTAAGCCTATTTTTATGGGTAGTAATTTATATTATTTTTTTTATATGAGCTCTGTATTTACTAACCCTTCTATCTATTTGTACATCATAATGTTATCTGGCATCTATATCTACTAATCTATCTCAGATGAATATCATAAAGATATCCACCTTATGAATAGGATATACATATTTTAATAAATTGAGAATGTTTTTCCCTTAACTGTACCTTCAAATATTCATATTTTTATCTAAATAATATATCCGTTTTTTATAAATGACATTTTAATTAATGAAACATAAAAGATACAGATACATTGGTACTGACAGACCTATCTATATGTAGATCATGAAGTTATCTATCATCTATATCTACTAATCATAAAGATATCCACTTTATGAATATGAATAAGTACACATATAAGGCAAGTCTAAATAGTTATATAAAATACCCATGCGGATCTTTTTATTTACCTAACACGTGCCTCAAATAAATGTTTAAATGCTTCTAGAGGGTATTTTAAGTTTGTTGTCAAGCAACAATCGTTACTTAATCGTAGAGTATATTTGCTTCGTTTTGTCGATAAATATTCCAACGCTGGTTGTGTTTATTTGCTCGACTCCAGTTTTTACGATCGCCACAAAATTTTCCACTGAAAAATGAGTAGCTGAAAATGTGCTCGGGGCAGGCGAGTTCTGTTTGTGGATCTGATTCTGGCTGTGGCTGTTGGCTCTGTATTCCCATCTTATTCATATTGTTTATTTTTTAATAATGCGTGTCCACTAAAAAAGAGACGGCGTAACGCGGCACCATAAAAAAAATATCCCGGAGAGCGTTCAGCACGCTAACCAAACGAAAGGCAAATTCAAAACAAAAACAAAAAAAAAACAAAACAAAAAACAATAATAAACACAAACCGAATGCTATTGGGTAGGAGTGGAGTGGGGGGTTGAGGGTTTTTCGAGGCGGGGAGAGTGTAATTTGAGCAGCGTAAGCCGAAACTGAAACTTCGAAACTCGCTCGCAAAACTATAACATTTTTTTTTTCTGTTTCATTCTTATTTTTATGGCAAGCATTGCATTTATTATGGTTCTTTGCGACCTCGAGGACCGGGCATAAATACATACATATATTATAGATATATATATATGTCTATATATATATATATATATATGTGTGTATTTAGCGATGATGACTGTAGGAGCGTTAACAAATAAAGGGATTTGCTGTTTGTATATTTTCATCTTTACTTTTATTTTTAATGACGACGAACGGAAATTAGAAATCAGCGGAAATTGTGCGACAACACAAAAGCACAAAATACATATAATGTATGTTGTTTATTGCTCAAGTTATAAACATACGTTTATTTTGTATATATTACTGATCTTTCGGGTGCCTAAAAGAGCACGCAACAAAGTTGTGTTCGAGAAAAATGAGCGAAGCTGGGCAAAGTTTCTGTTAATCGCAGGCAATGTGTGTAAAAATTCCCTTGCATAAAATGGCAAAATGATTTAATTATATCAAGAGCTAATACTGAAAACTATTAAATCGGCAGACAGCTAGAGTCCATCATATCTTTTTATATCAAGCTGGCATATTGCCAAGTTGTCTATCATTGAAAAGACACCCAAACGCCACATTGACATGAGTCTATGTCATTTTTCACATTTTATGCGGGTCTCTTTATAAAGATACAATTAAGATTCAGAGTGTGAACAAATTGTGCGAAACGTTAATTGGGCGTTGCTTAGAGATTTTAGATTAAGTGAAATAAAACCAAAATATCATGAAGCAAGAACAGCTAGAATTGTGAGAATGCCGACTAAGTGATTTATCTAATTTTATCTAGGAATCCAAGAATAGTTCCCATGGCAGCTGTATGATATAGTGATCAGGATTAACTGCACCAGAATAAATAATCTATTATATATATATAATATAAAACAATCTTGAGATATTAAAAGCAATTATTTATTTATTATCAAATTTGCCAGCCTTTTGTTTATCAGATCTTTGGCACTCGGACAGTACCAGAAATATTTTACGAGAGAAAATGTACGCTAGAAATTCCTACTTAGAATTCGCTTGGCACACGCCAGCCGGAAATGTTGATGAAATTGGAAATCGCATTCAAGTATTTCATTTGTTGTGTGGAAGAAATGGAGAAAAGCGGAAAATGAAATGGAGAGCATTTCCATTTCAATTTTATATTACTGCCAGAAGGTGTGCGAAATTTTCATGCGAACCTGTAACAAAATATCGTTAAATGGAAACTTATGCATTTATTGCCGTTTTGGCCAAGAAGCAGCCAAACAAAAGGCAAGTTGCAAAGTAAAAGAAAAAAAGCAAAAAGAAAAACACTCGACGGAATTGAAGTGCCATTTCCGAGGATATAGTTTTGTATGCGGGCAAATGAAACAAATGAAAGGAAATGCAATGCAGGAGCTGCTGCTCCTCCTGGAACACCGGAGCCTGAGAGGCACATAAAAGTTGCTCATTGTGTTTTTGGCTGTTTTTATTGCCGTTTGCTGCATTTGCAGTTGAATAATTGTTGTTGATTTTTGCTTCGCTGACGAATGATAAGTTTGATTTGTCCGGCTCCTGACGAGAGTTAAACGAACTCTTCTCACTAGTTTTATGTGTAAAAAAATAAAATCCTTACTTATGCCACTCCACCCCCAATCCCCAATGTCTTTGACTTTGTAGTCCCACAGCGCACTTTAATTGCACAGCCTTTTCTTCTTTTTTTCCTCTTCGTTTTTTGCCTAGGCTTAGATCGCATCCAGAAATACTTAGACATACTATATCTATATATATATATATATATATATGTATAAAGAAAGAATATTTTTACACAGCTCTCGTGCGTTCCAGTTTTATGATGCACTCGTAAAAATGCACGACTCGCCTTTGATGCGAAAATGCCACAGGAGATGAGATGGGTAGATGGGCAGCAGAGGAGAGTAGAGTGGATGTGGAGGGAAGCTGAAGTTGAAGTTGAGGTTTTTAATGTGCCGAAAGGGCGCGCAAACAATCGAAGGATGGCACGGAAACAGAACAATTTCTAGACAAGATTTAGATGCCTGGCTGCTGCGTTTGTTGCAAAACGCGTATATTTTATTACCTTGCAACGTACAGAAGGACAGACAGATATAGACAGTCGGACAGACTGACAGACAGACGGACAGACAGACTGTCTTTCGAACAGACATTGAAATATGCATTCTGAAGTGTTGTCCGGGCATCATAAAATTTGTGGCGACGTGAGGCGAAAGTTGTTCATGTGCATTTTGGAGGGCAACGCACAAGCATTATGATATTTGTGATATTTGTGGCATAAATACATAAATGCCAATGGCAAGTGGCAAGTGGCAACCAAACCCGTTGTGGCATCTACCCTCTAGAAAATAAATGATATAAACTTGACTGAGTGTCTCCCCTGTTTTGCCTGGCGGGGCTGCCACTTGAGTTTTTAATTAAAGCAAGGCATCAAGAACAAAAGGCAACAAAATGTTTCAAGCATAATATAAACTAAAATGCCAGCCAGCATGGAAATTTAACACTTGCACCTAAATTGGGCAACGACAACAAACAAATAAACAACCAAGATTGCGTTCGTGTTGCAGGTGCCACAACTAGCAGCTACCCTGTTCAGCTCAATTTGTAATTACTTGTGACAATTTTGAATCAATATTTAAATAAATCAGGAGTGCTTAAATTAAAGCAACAAAACAGAAATAATAAATATACAATTTTTATAAGTGAGTTTCAAATATATAAAAATAAAAGCTAAAAGTATACAGAGCAGTACAAAAAAGTGTTTGGCTTTTGCTTTTTCATGTGCCTTTTCAAAAGGGAAGGCTTTCCAGGACCAACTTGACTATTCAAACCTTAGTATTAATGCTGATCAATAAGTGTTTATGGCTATATAAACATATATATAGATATATGCCAGTACACACCTGCACAATCTGCATGAATACCCGGTTTTAGACGTTTTTAATGGATACAGGGTATTGCAATTGGCCAAGGCGAATGCTTCAATTGTCAGCACAAAAGCAAGCACAAATGCTACGACGCTGCTGGCTTGTGGGCTGGAGGGGGGAGGTGGGAGATGGGAGGGACTGGAGCGGTCGAGAGGAATTGTTTTTCATCTGGTGCAGCTTTTGTTGCCACGTTGCAGCCATCAGGCCAAATGATGAAAAAGCCATTGCATACTTTCGTGCGCAGTCCGGAAATGCAAGAGCAGCAGCCAGCAGGCAGCAGGCGCCGGAAATGGAAATGAAAACTGGCAAGTGGCAAGTGGCAAGTGGCAAGTGGCATGTGAAAAGCGTTGCAGCGTTGCCTGGCTGCCAACTTAAATTGTAAACATAAAACTATGCTGCGAAATTGATTTGATTAAAGGCAACACGCCTCGTCCTGCATGCCAAATAAGTTCAGACCCTTGAAAATAACCACAATCGAGACAGAGTCGAGACTGAGACACCCTTACACTATTTAAGGTATTTCCACTCAATGTGAGCCTCTTCTAATGCATCAATTCATTTTGCAGTTCGATATGATCGCCATATAATGTAGTATAGCTAATAATATACATTGCAAAATTTCTATATTTAACTATAGTAAATAATATGCTGATTATGACTGAGACCAACTGCTGATTAAAAGCGAGTCTTAAATCTTAGACGAGTTGGCGTAAAATCAAATGTTTTGGCATACTTATCAAAAAGAATCGCGATACATTTTAGAAAATCTCCCTGAAATGTAAAAAGTATTTCTTGTTTTTAGAAATAAATTCTAAATATAGAAAGCAAAATTCTAAAAATTGGAATTTCTTTATTTTTATATATTTCTGAAATATATTTCTTTTAAATAGAATATACTAAACTACTTTAGAATACTAAAAAGCAGAAATCAAAGCTTTGTTTTCTTTGTTAAAGAATTGATGTTTTTTTAAATGCAGAAAATAAATGTCTAAAAACAAGAAATATTTTGTAGTTTTCAAGGCGATTTCCATTTGAAGGCGATTTTTTAAATATCATGGCGATTGTTTTTCTGAGTGTATGGACAGGTAAATTTTTATTATTACATTTTGATAAGATAGGTATTTTTACAATAAATCAAAACCTGGGTTGATCAACCTGAAACATTGTTTCAAACCATGAATCAAATAATATATTTTTATAGGTTCCATTATTCAATTATTATTGTAATTACTTTTACTGCTGTCATAAATATTTTCTATTAAGATTGCTCAAAACTAGTAATAATAGATTTTATTGTAACTGTAATTGGAAACTACTGTCACTTAAAGTAAACTGATTCGAAAGTGTTAAATTGGTGAGAATGATCAACTTTTTAAGTGATCGGTGTTGGATACCACAGAGTTGTAAGTAATTTGGGTAAATGGCATTTACCTAAGACTCCTTTGAAGCTCATAATAAACCCAGTATTACAAGCCTTGAAAATACATGACACCAATTGGTTGTCAATCTTATTGGGTACTCTGGCTGGGGCAGATGCTCAGCAAGTGTGAGTAACTTAATAACTCAAACTGTCTACATAATTGGCCACGAAATGTTGCATATTCAAATGAGCAACGATAATTTGTACTTACACAAAGAGTACAGCTGCAGCAGCTGCCGCAGCAGCGGCGGCAACATTGCGATACTGCTGCTACGTGGCTGCTGCAGTCGCTGCAACGGCCGCCGCTGACGTTGAGCTGACCAGATGCTGGCCATGATGATGATGATGATGGTGATGATGATAGCCGCCATTGCTGCTCCTGTGCGCCGGCGGAGGCGTTGTCGGTGTCCCAGAACGTGAACGCTGCTCCTGCTCCAGCTGCTGCTGCTGATGATGGGGATGCTGATATTGATGATGAATGCCGGCCGTCGACATTGTTCCCACTGTCGTGACCAGCGTGGGCGAATGGGCGGCGGAATGGACGGTGCCATTGCTGCTGGCGGGTCGCGAATGCTTCTGCTGAGCATTGGACGCGGGAGATGTGACAGCCACCGCTGATGACGGACTGGGCGGTGTCCGGCTGAGTGCGAGCGGTTCGGGCAGTGGCAGGTGCGTGTAATTGGTGCTGTACCTCTCAATGTTGGGGTAGGTCAGGAAGACGGGCGCCGTTGTCGTGTGCAGCCCAATTGCCATCGGGGTGTAGTAGTTGTAATAGATTTGCGCCACGATTCGGTTTATATCTACACGCGCTGTGGAATACGAATAAAATGCATTTCAATTATTTTCATCAAATAATGGATACATTTGCGACGCTAGATGGCGCCACACAGAACTTCTCGGTTTCAGTTGACATTTTTGTGCGTGATATTTTCGTCGATTGTGAGAATCTTGAGACGAATTTAAACGATCGGAACACTTTATCATACTGAAAATATTTGCCTATAATTATTATTATTATAATTATTGCTCTATCGTATTTGTTCTTATATTTTTCTTTTAATGATTTCTACAAACCAATTCCATTTGGCTTTCGAAAGTTACATAATCAAACAGATAACAGTTAACAAGAAAAGAAATATTTTTATAATCTTCTCACATCTAGGTACATGCAAACTTTAATCTGAAATGCATTAAATGTTTTAAGCACTTAAATATTGGGGATTTAAAATGATTATGCTTGATTCGATGTCGATTTGAATTTTTGAGCAAGTCAAATTTGTGGAAAATTCAAATTAACTAGCGACTACTGTATAAATGTTCATGCTCCGATTTGACTGGAACTTATTTTAATTGGCTACATATGTGTAGATGAATTTTTTTTTTTAATTATTGCTTGGGGCTATTGTATTTGAAGAAGGTTACCAGAATCTGGCTAGAATCCATGACTACGTTTTACGTTTTATGTTTTACTTTTCGCACGAAGTCGAGTTTTATTGCTTATATCGTTAAATTGCTGGTTTTCACACTTTTTAGCACATAACTTATAAACTATTGAAGCCATAACAATAACTATGCCCGGGCACTAAAAGTCTATGTCTCGCTCCAAGATATGCGCCATTTTCAAAAATACACATACACACAAAAGCATACACACACACACACGCACACACACACGCACATACGCACACACACATGCGCATGCAACGCCTCGGCTAGGCATGCACCTAATGTGCAACCTTCACTGCACACACACACACACACATAGACATACACACGCAAACACACACACATGTATTGTAAAGCCCAACCCCCAAGATCTAGCTGCAAGAGGCAGAACCTTTGTGTACCGCTCCCAAACTCCCAGGGCCACCCCCCCCGTTTGCGTCTTATCTGCGTAGCAAAAACTTTTCAAAATTTTACTACTTGCTGCAACATCAAAATGCCAAGTTTTTACGATTACGTTGCTGCTGCTGCTGTTGCTGCTGCTGCTGCTGCAATTTTACTTAATTTTAATGGGATTTTTTCTTCCGCCAACTGCAGAATGCATTAAACAGGGCCCAGTGAGGCAAACGGGTGTATTACGCACCAGCGTTTGTGCCAAAGGCTCTGCCAAATACCTGTGCTCCTTACATACACATATACATACATACATACGTAATACATATGTTGATGTATAGAGCTATGTATGTGGAGCTAGTCGCCAAGGTATAGTTAAAACATGGTCGCAACTAATACTTATACTTATGCCAGTCCACTGTGCAATTTTGACGAAATAAAAAGTCGTAAACTTTTTGGACAAACCCACAATACATTTTCCTAGGGGGGGCTGGGATTAATTAAGTGAGTGCATCTTGAACAGCAGGTCAAAGTTTATGGCCGAATGTTTGAGTGGCAAATGGCTTCAGCTTAGCATCTTAACTACCGCACTGCAAAGCACAAATGTACAACAAACATTTATATATTTTCCTGCTTTAAATCTTGCCATTAAAATTCTTAATCTATTTTCCATAATTGTTGACTAGCCAATTTAAGTTCAACGCTTATTGAATGTGATGTAACTGGCAGGATTGGCCAAATTAATTTGTGCTTATTTGGTACTGCCAGACTGTCTATAAGTAAATAATTTTAAATATGGACGAATTGTCAACATTGTTGATCATTGATCAACAAAAACTTTGAGGGTTTTTATTTGAATAAGATTTGGTAAGTCCTGTAAACCTGTGAAACCTTATATCTGAACAGTCTGGTTCAATATTTATTTGATTCTTAGAGTCATGTCTTAAAGGTTTACGTTTATTGAGGAAATGTTTCTCCACAAATTTCATATTCCTTTTATTACAATACTTAATCTTTTTTACCCATAGGATTATGTTGGGTACGAAGAGTTTTTTGTGCTGTCAGATTGCTTACAAGTAAATAAAAGCTATAAAAGAAATAAAATCAACTCTCAATGGATCAAACTGGGTCATGGTATTGATTTAAAAATCATATCTTGAAGGATTAAGTGTATAATATTAGCGAAATGCTCCTCCACAAATATCAGTCAACCCACTTGGCCGCCCCTTTGTAAGCGCGCAAACGGTTTTTAATCAGCACGTTTGCAGGCCACAAAACCTTGGCAATAACTTTACACTTGACTGGGTTAACAGGCGACAGATGACGGCAGATGACAAAAACAGCAATCAGCTAAAGCTCGGTCAATTTAATGGTAGCAGTCCTCGGTCCGGCACTCTGTCCACGTTCGGGTCATTTATGACAAACTGGCTGCTTATTATAAAGCCAGGAAGCAAAGAATACATCATTGCTCCTTCTTTCTCCCCATATATATATATATATATAAAGCATGTGTATATATATAATATATATATATATATACATATATATCAGATGTCTGGCACAAGTGGCAGCTAGTTGCGGCATGCATGTTACTTGTAGAGCCGTAAAATGTCCGTACGAGTAGAGAAGAGGTATATTGGCAGTACCAGTTGACGTTGCACATTTTTTTTTACGACCCGCCCACAATATGAAGTCGTAAAGTTGAAATTTTTTGCTTCCTGCTGCTGTTGCTGATGTTGGCAACGCTTTCCTATATTATTTAATAAGCATTGGCGAATAGAAGTCGACTCCTTTACTCCGGACTCGTCTCATTTTCGGGAGTAGAAATTTGTAGCATTCCTCCCGAGGGCAGGGTTTAAATACATTCACATCATTCACATGATGAGCAGCAGTTGAAAACAAAAACAAAAACAAACAAAAAACAAGCCGAGTCTGTTTTATGGGTTAACGCTGCAAAAGACATGGCTTCAAATATGAACGAAAACTAGGATGAGGAATGTGTCATAAGAGCAGCTGTAAGCTGACTCATTTGCCTAAATGGGCGTGAAAGCTCATAAATACTGCTAGCCGAGTCTACGAACTGTAAACAATGGGTTTGTCATAAGTCAGCGTTTCGCTGAGTAAAGGTCTGGCAGGCAGTGCGATAATCGGTCGAGCTTTTTAGCATTTGCTGACATTTTGTGGATAATCCTTAAGCAGCTCGTTTACACTTCGAAAAAGCGAGCTTTGATATATCAATCTATTTGTCAAATAGATCTATAAAGTCGTAAACATTTGGATAAACCAAACAAATAATACACTTTTCTAGCGGCTGGACATCTTAAGTGTGCCTGGAAGGCTGTGCGATAATCAGACAATTTAGATTTAGTGGAGCCTTTTAGCTTTTGTTTAATTGTGTGAATCATCTTTGAAAAGGTCGATTTCATCAAAATCAGTGACATTTGATCTATGAAGCTTACGAGACTTAGATCTAAAGATATATGTATATATGCTGGACTCCAATCGGCTTGTAGGCTTCTGTTTAATTACTTTGAGATTTTAGTTTCAACTCGAACATTTATTGGACTCATTTTCGAGCTGTAACATTTTTCTATAGCCTTTTGATCAGCTGCTGACAGCTCAAATTTCTACATAGTCTTTTCAAGCTTTTTACTTATTATCGCTGCTCAGCTTAACTAACATTCAACTCTTTTCCTCTGACTTTCACTAGACTCATCCTCGAACTGAAATACCTTTTCAATCATTTATTCAAAAAGGAATACACTGAAACAGTTTCGAGCTGTGGAAGATTTGAAGCTTGTCATAATTTATTCACTAGTCTAAAGCGAAGCTTGTTAAGCCTTTTATAAGCGTTCTTTTGATCAGCTTTGTGCTTCTCATCCATTTCACTTAATAGGCATTCGCAGCTGCATTTGCAAATAACAACAAATCGCTTTTTGCACCCTGCACCCCCTATATCCCCCACATTGCATATTTGACTACCCCCTGTCAGTGTCACGTGCAGCATTCAAGCATTCAACACTTTTAAGCTTTATAGCAGACACATTTACACGTTGCATCGCCTGCCTATCCGAAATAAACCCGCTCATCCCATTCCTCCCCTCACCTCATCAACTGCACTCCCATCCCAGCCGTATACAGATTCATGCACTCTCTCTCGCTCTCTCGCTCTCACTCTCTCCATCTCTCTTTGTGGAGCACCTGACGTTTCTCTGGTGTGGACGTGTTTAGTGCCGGCAAACGATGCTGCGATATTATTGTAGCTACTACTACCTGCCAGCTTTCCCATGGATAAGCTCGAAGCCTTTCCCACCTTTCCACCAACGTTGACGTTGACGGTGTTGGCAATGTCGTAAATTTTTCGCATGCATTTTTCGGTTTAATGATGCATTTACGATGCCAAACACTGGCGACAACAACAGCAGCAGCGTCCAATCCCAATCCCAATACTCCAAACCCAAACCCGGACCCAGACACAAACTCTAACTCCAACTGCAAAAGACCCAGCTGGCAACGGTCGGGCTTGAAGTGAAATGCTGGGAAATGGCAACAACTTGAGAAAGCAATCGTTACGGTTTTTAATGCCATCGACACAAAAACAAAGGAGCACCTGATTCTCTTCAATCTCAATCTTCAATATCAACTGAGTGAGGCAATTTGCCATTCTCAGTACGAATATATAATATATATATATATATATATGTATATAAATGATTTGTTTTTCATTTCGAGTAGCCCATTTTTCGATTTGATCGAATATTTGTTGTTTAAGGAAAATATTTTATTTTTTACATTTATTGGTTTTTGTTTTTGTGTAGTATTTTCTGGCTGTTGTTGTAACTTGGCATATGTATTATGAACTTCTTAAATCGATAACAATTTGTTTTATACATAGTTAATCAATAGGTAGTTGGATATTACAAATAGATTGGTAATATTAAGTCTCTGCATTTTTACATAGTGTAAACATTGAAACTATTTATAGTACAGCTTATTAAAGTTTCACTGAAATTCAAGAACCTGATTAAGGACATAGCTTGGGGAGTACTAAAGTACCATAGATCATTTTGTAATTGTGCTTTAAGAGTTTGCAATATGTGAACGATGTGCAAGTGTGCGAGATTATCATTGAAAGTTCCAAATTCGCAATTTGAAAAAAGTCAAAATAAAAAATAAAAAATTAACATCAGACAAATAATTTTAATCTTAATGGCAATAAAGGCTAACATAATTATTAAAGTACTCTAGGCGTTGAGTTGGACTAAAAGGCGTACATCAAAATGTCAAATTAAAATGGTAATCCTATTTTTAGAAATTATCTCTTATAGTCTAAGTTTCTACGGTGCGAAAGAGCAAACTTCTGAAATCAAGAAAAATATTATTTGCCTGCCTAGAAATATCTCAATAACAAACTCACCACAACTAAAGCTAACTTAGCAGAACTTGATATTAGGATTGAACTAAAACTAAACAACCGTTGGGTAGACTTGTAGCACATAATAACTATTATATTTGATGTTGAAAGGGTATATAGGAATTCTTCCGTCTTAGATAGGGGTATGTTGATTGGAGAGAAGAGATTCTGTATGTAAATCATTGCGAGCAACTGGTATGTTGATTGTAGAGCAGATTTTGACTTTCCATTGGTCATCATCAATTTTGGTGTATGTTGATTGAAGAGTGACATCATCAGACATCATCTACCGTGGGTATGTTGATTGAAGTGGCAGCATCCATGAAGGGTATGTTGATTGAAGTGCTATTGATTGATCAATTTTCATCTATTGATAGCATGTTGATTGGAGAATGGTGTTGGTCGTCTGTATTTGGTTTGTTGATTGAAGATATATGTATCCAAGTAGTAGTTGCAAGTTGATTCTTTACAACGATTTCAAAATATTTACAACGTTTTTTTTTTTATTGAAAACTTTACTTTTTTTGTATTTTTTTGTTTACTGTAATTCGCGCGCATTTTGTTGAAGCATTAAGCTCACTATTTTATATGTATTAAGTTTAAATTTAAGGTAAAGTGATGGAAAATAATAAATATATAACTAGATATTTTTTTGTATTTTTTTGTGTTTTTTTTCTTCTTTTTTTTGTTTTGTTGGCAATTTAATTAGTATAAAAATTATCATCCACATTGCCGCGTTGTGTTGCGCAACTCACCCCCGTCATAGATATTCAAATTGTGTTGACGGGAGTATTCATTCACAACATATTGGCCTGGTAATTGATCAAATCAAAACATATATTTATGGGTATATATAGCAAACATACATCACATATATAGAGAGTTGACGAGTGCTGGTATATTAACTATGGTGTTTTTAATTATAGTTATTAGTTTTGCTCACCCTCTTCGATGCGACGTGAAGCCTCATCAATGTCTGCGCCAGCATCTTTTAATATCACATACATTAGCGGCATCAGTTCCCACGGATAACGAAATTTCTCTAACAGCTTTTGACAATAGTCTAGGAAAACATCTTGGCCTGCAAGGAAAACAAACATAATTCATATGATTAGATGGCAACTTTCGCATATATATCACATTCACTTTCACATGTCATTCACACATCCGATCGTAATCATATACAAAGTTTGAATGCAGTAAACAATTCAAACGGCGACTTATTCAAATTGTGCTCATAAATAAATAATGGCAAAGCATGTTTTTTTTTCTTTTTTTTTTTACCAATGTACAGCGCCGTATACTTAATTCCCATTGATATTCTCAATTTTCAGCAGGACGCACTCAATTTTTGTGTACTATATTTTATTTTGCAAATTGAGCTACTCGAAAAGTGAAGCCCCATCAAAATTGTCAGACGAAATTATGGTCAACATAAACATGACGGCAAAAGCATAGGCACAAAATGAAACCCAATACGAGTGAAAAATAAAATAATTGCGATAAAGCTGAGTTCAGTTGAGGTCTGGGAAAGAATGTTGGCAACTCATGCTTGATCAGTTTGCCACGAGCAGAGTGAGATGAACACAAACAGACAGAGGGAGAGAGAGAGAGAGAAGTTAGACCGTCTAGAATACTTATTAAGTAATTGTACTGGAATGTGCAGGAAAACTGTGCAATTTTCATTTGAAAATCGAAAATCGGCATAAAGAAAGAATGAAAATTAGACGGTGAAAACCAATCAACTTGATTAAAAATTGTTCATTTTAAAAATGCCATTTTTGGCTTTAGATTATTGCTCTGTTCTTCACTTTTCTAAGGGAGAAAATTTTCTTTAATTAAGTTTGTTCGTATTCGAGTAAAAATGATTCAATCTGGGAATGTCTCTTTAACTGAAGATTCTTAATCTCTTTTGTGGTTGAAACAAGATTGTATCTTCTTTATTAAATTTTTTTTAACAGTCTAAAAATCTCTACAATATTCCTTCTTGTTTTCTATTTATATTTTCCTATTTTTATTTTCATAAGAGTCTATTCTAATATTGATTATATATTCATAAGATCAATCTTTAAAGATCATTTTATATGTATTATTGTATTTCATGTAAATAAATATTAAATACTCCCCAGAAACAAATTTCAAACAAAAAGAAAGAGAACAAGAGAAAAGTGGACATATTTGTAAAATCAATCCTAAGAAATCATTTAATTTTAAACACGATGCAAATAAAGTTATTAATTAAGGGTATCTTTTGTGAATCATAAACAACTGTAGAATCGCAGCCCAAAATTACTTGTATTGTGATTATTTGTACAATTAAATAAATATAATTATCTGTATATTGAAACCCTTTCCGTGACGATCCTTAATTCGCACTAGAAGATGAAAGCAATAATAACGCAATTGTGGCATTCTTATTCTAAATGATTAGGATAATTGACGTCTACCTTAACATATGCATAATTCTTAGTATACATTTTTTTTATAGTGTAAACACAACTCGAAATTGTGTTCACTTTTCATGTTTGAACTTGTTGTTGCTCCTGTTCTTTTTCGTGTGCTTTAGTTGGCTCTATTTCTTTCAAATATGCTTTGCCATTTTTTGTTGCTTTTCATGTTGTCTGTTTTACCTACACAACAAAAACCAGAGGAACAACAAAAAGAACAAATGACAGCAACTGCGCTGTCGCCGTCGCCGTCGCCGCAGCCGTTGCCTTCTCCGTCGTCGTCGTCGCCGTCGTCGTCATCGTCGTTGTTGTTGTCGTTGTCGTCATCATCGTCGGTAGTTTCTGTAGTAGGCGGAGCTTCATAGTCATTGGCCCGTTTTATTATGTTTCTCTCTCTTCTGTCGTTCGCTTTTGATGTTGCTGTTGTTGTTGGTGCTGCTGCTGCTGCTGCTGTTGTTGCTGTTGTTGTTGTTGTTATGTTGCATGCAACTGCTGCGTTGAGTAGTTGGCGCTTGTGTGGTTTGTGGCGCACGTTTTGCATTGGTGAGCATTCCGCTCTGTATGCGTGTATGCGCGCGTGTGTGTGTGCGTTGTGTGTGTGTGTGCGTTGTGTGTGTGTGAAACGTGTCTTCTGCTTTGCGTGTGTAGCTGTCATAAAACAATTGCTGTTATTTTTGTTGTTGCTGCCGCTGTTATTTAGTTTACATAAATTAAGTTGTATACAAATAGCATGTACATAATTATACACACACACCATCACACACTTGTACATCAAGTTAACCTATGGGACATGTTTGCCATTGTTCTTCATTTTTTTTTTTTGCCATTTGCCATTTTTAATTAAGTAATTGAGTCATTTGTCGTTTTGGTGTGCCTTTTTTATTGGTCGACATTTTTGCTTTTTGCATTTTATTTTGTTTAGCGTATATACATTTTATAAATTAATTTATTGTTGCCACGGCATAAAACAAGCAAAAACAATTTGATTGCTTAATTAGATACACACACACACACACACACATACAAACATACATATACACATACATATGTATGGAAAACTGAATTTGAAGTGCGTTTTTTTGTTTGTGTTTTTCATAATTAATTTATAGTTGTCTGGTTAACACAATTAACTTTATCTACACATAAATCAGTCCCACTAATTTGGTTTTAATTGCAATTATTATTGTGGCCATCAAGAACTTTCGATCCCACTCAGAAGCATTAACAATCAAAGTCACACCGATTACGTTTAATTGCTTTATATGTCAGTAATCGAATAATCAAAACTCACAACTCGATCTTTAGAGTATTGCCTATTGTCTGTCGTATGATTTATATATAAGTTACTAATAGGAAATAACTTTATACATAACACAAATTTAAATTTTCAATTCTTTGATTATTGAATTTTAAATATTCTGGCAAGTTGAGTTTTAAATAAAAACAAATATTAACAAATTGGAATGGTCTGAGTTTTGGGTTCACAAAATAAATAGTGAAGTATCCAAACTAGTATAGATTTATTAATAGATTTCACTTTTAATAGTGTGCGTATCTCAGCACAGGCACTGAAGAGTAAAAAATAAAAAAAAGTAGGGCATTGTTTTATTCATAAGCCCGAACTGAAATCATCGGCTTGCGACATACATACATACATGCATAAGCATACTTACATATGTACGTACACGCAATCTGAGGTAACGAAGCGCTGCACACAAATACACACAAACATTTTTACGCTCACGTCGATTATCTTGCCATCCCCTTCCCACCCATGAGATTGTGGCGTTTGCTGATAAGATCAATATGAGAATAAGTCTCCCACTATAGCTTGGGTCTTTCGTAGTACACCTTGATGAATCAAGCTGGATTGATCAATAATATAATATATATATCAATTATTAGTCTCTGCGCTTAAAAATGGCCGCCCTTATTTGTATCGGAAAACAAAATGTATAAAATGAAATTAACTTGATCTTGAATTGATATTAAATATTTCAAATGTGTTGATCTTGATTACGAATATATACATATGTAGCTTATAGGGTCGGAGATGCTTCCTTCTGTCTAATTTGCACATAACTATTTTTGGCCATTTTCAATGGTTGCATTGATAATGTGTTTAGCCTGCTTTTGGAGTCAACTGCAGTTGATAGGAAATCAACCAAGCTGTCCTGCCAAGAAGATTACAATTCCCTGGTGCTCAATTGCTTGCAGATCAGAACTCGCCATTACATAGAGGTGTCCGATATCATTTTCCGAATCAAAAACCAACTCATTCATTTTGTAACACTTTCAAAATTTGATTTTTAAATAATTGATTAGTATTCCTTCTATAACTTAAAGTTGGCACTGCTAATAGAATTATTTTCAATAAATATTTGTTTTTCATTTAAAAGGAAAAGAGGCAAAAAGTAAAGAAAAAAACACAATTTAATTAAGCATTCTTTATGGAAATCGTTTATTGATTTATAATTATTTCTAATTTTCTAATTAAAGCTACAAATTTAAAGACACCTTTGAAAACATTTCTTGTTAGATTGGTGCTATTATTTTGTTGACAAGTATACGTTCATTCAATCTACGGAATGGATCGTGCCTCATACCTTAAGTCAATACTCAAAAATGATGCTGCTATTTACTATTTAATTATTTATTTAATTTCATTGCAGAATTTCTAAAACTACTTTAAAAGCACATAGTATTCATTTATATTATTATTGTTATAATTGCACTGCGACCCATTAGATCTATTGAGCCCCCTTCTGAGCCTATAGCTCCTCCATTAAGCCAAGCTCCTGCACCAATGCTAGAATCTTTGCTGGGTCATAGCAAGCACACCTGGGATGATGCATCTTTTGGTCCTGGTTAAGGAAAGTATCCAAAGGCTGTTCTTCTCCCATGGTTATTACTTGCTTAGTTTATGTAACATTTACACAACAGCACATCCTATCCAACATTTTCAGTTTATTATGAATGATCTAAGCATTTTTTGTTGGTTTCCAAAATTCAGATAATTATTACGCAATGCGGCAAAAGTTGCATGTTGCATGTTGCTGCTTATGTACATATGTATGCATTTATGTATGTATGTTTGTATGTATATAAATGCGGGCTGTGAATTGCAGTATGCATATCGAAAAACGTTTTGGGCAACGCCCATCTCATTGATGGTAAGTGATGCAAACTGCAACAGTGGCGTGCCACACCCATTTCTGCGGGCACACATTTGCAGTTAGCCAGTAAACGATGCCATTAACGCGCATAAACGTAACTTACTCTCATTCGATGCTCGCCGCTTTCTCTCTCTCTCTCTCTCTCTTTCTCTCTCTTGTTCTCTCTCTCACACTCTCGCTCTTTGACTCTTTCTCTTTCCTTCTCTCTGCTGCTCCTTTGCTGCCTGCCCGGCTCTCTGCTGTGTTTGCTTGCTCTCGCAGCCGAATACTTCTTTTTTTTTCTGCTTTTATTTTATTTTTATTTGTTGTTTTTGTGTGCGCTTCTTCGTCCATGTTTCGTTCGTCGTTTAAGTCGTTATCAAAGTTGTTCATCGTCGTTTTTTGCGCCTTTTATGGAGTTTGGATGCAGCACGAAGTTTGTTGTTGTTGTTGTTGTCGTTGTTCGCGCTGCTGCTGCA